AGTATCATATTGTTGGTCGGGATATTTCTCTACAAATGAAACACAGCCTTTTAATTGAGCTAGTTTTGGAGGTGTGATGCCGTATGTGTTCCCTTTTTATCTTTACTGAAATAATTTTCAAATACTGCTCTTCTATCCAAAAGATGCAGCTGTGAGGTCCATCTGTTCATCAAAAAATGTGTGTTTCTTCATTTTGTAGCTGAACTGAATAGCCTGAAAGAAGTGGGGCTGCGGTATTTAGGATGTGGACGTGTTGATTTCCCCCATGACTTGTGACCGTAAGATCCATGACAGAAAATGGGCGAGTGAAATGAAATGTACTTGAGCTGGGTTTGTTAAGGCTGTGGGCTGCTCGAGCTTCTATTTACAGTTATGCTAAAATAGTTTAGTCTCTGCTTGTCAGGAGATGTAGAGAAAATGAAGTTAAAAAAAATGGAAAACATCTCTAGTCATTTGTTACTTCTTTTCAACATGCAAAAATTCAGTGAGTAGACTATAAGTTTCCAGGGGAGCATTCAGTCTTATCAATTAGATTGTTCCTTCTTCTTTTCCTAGTTCTATGCTATTTATTTCTCTGATTCTGCAGTGAAGGAGGTATGCGTGCTGCAGACGGCAGCTTCCTTAATTAAACAATCTGGCTGTTTCTAGAGGAGGTCCATTCTTTACTGAATGAGGAAGGGGTCCTGCTTAGAAAACGTGCCTGCATGATGTTACAGTGGAGTGCTGCCCAGAAAACCTTAAGAGGGTTATCAGTAGGGTTACAGCCATGCTGGCCCAGCGCTACCTGCGTGGAGAACACCTCACACTGCTGCACGGGCTCAGTTTCTGGATGGTTGAGAGCCTAAGCATCACTGTACCCTACAGCAGTAACAGCATTCGCATATTTCGCATGGCACTATGTGACTGATTTGTAATGTGGCAGAGAGACCAACCGCAGTTCTGGTTTCTTTGTGTAGCTCTTGTCCGGATTCTAAGTCTGATCTCTGCGTGGTGTATTCAGTTGCTGGCAGTGGGAATGCGAGCGCAATGCCCTTTGTGCTCACTGCACAGTGCTTTCCCAGAGATTTTTATTTTATCCTGGTTTTTGAACCTTGCACTGACAAAGCCCTCTGTTTGTTAGTGAGTAATTTGTGCCAGTTCAAAATGTTAGCATGTTCATTGGTATTCCTATGGTGAGAGAAGTGGACAGTTCAGATAACCAAATAACCTGCAGTATAAATCCTCCTTTTTTTTTTTTTTTTTTTCCCTGTATGTATTTCGATGTGTTATGAAAATTTTCTTTTGGATATATCCCTGTTGAAAAGATTTTCATTCCCCGTGAGAAATTGTTTCCAAACTTGTGGATGTGACAAGATTTTAATCTAATTTCCTAGATTTCCACCACTACTCTCAGCAACAGTCTTGAAGTATTTATCATACCTCCCTATCCAAATGAGTGGGTCATGGGAAAATAATTATGCATACATTTATTTAAGTATATTACAGAATTTTCTTTTAATTCCCCATTCATTTGTTAGCTTGGAGAATAATAAAATGAAATTAAGCTAAAAAATCTGTGCAGGGTATTCATTCTGCAAAGCTTTCATTTTCCCCAGTGAGAGACACATTTGTCTTCTGTCCACAAATCTGGAAAATTTATTTAAATGTATGCTTCCTTTTTCCTTTACATAGAATTAATCTAGTCAAGAATTAGGCACTGAAAGAAGAAGTAAAAATCAAATTTGATGGAAGAGTCACAGTTGAGAGCTTGTTGAAAATGTCTTTTTTTTTTTTTTTTTTTCCTTAGGAAGAGTTTGTCATAGTAACTTTTACTTCTGTTTGATCTGAATTTACTATTGTAAGGTACAGTATGTAGATTAAGCCTTTGAAGCATCTGCCTTTGGTTATCTGAAGAGCCATACATGAATTTAGGATGAGTTAATTCTGGTTAGAAAATTCTGCATTCGTAAGTGAAATTTCTGCATTCTTAGACATGAGGATGCATGGTAACTACTACAAAGACCAGTTTACATGCCTTCCCCCTGCATCTTCCTTTCCCTTTTTGATATGGGGTTCAAATGACAAACCAGTTACTTTGAGTGTAGACTCACCTGCTCACTAGGAATAAATTGCTCAGTGCATGTACACAGCAGAATAGTACGCTCCCGCTGAGTACTTGCTTCAGGCTTTAAACTTCCAATGTTTATAAAGATGTTCTTTGAAAATTGATTGTGGGAATTAGGTGTGTGTGTATTTTCCCTGTCACTAAGCCAGGGGCTGTAGTGGAGGGTGCCCCATTGTAAACTCATTTTCTCTTAGAAGTCCTATCTCATGCTCTATTCTGTTGGTACTTGTTCCTGAGAGTCCTTTACTTCAGCACCTTGTCTCACCTGAAAGCCTCTTTCTGCTGCTCAGTTCCTATGCTGTCTGGAGGCTGTTGTCAAGGTGTGTTTCTTGTAATGTCTGTATTCCTTGCTCCTTCCTTCAGCTGTGCTTATTACCTATTATCCTCACAAGAGCAAATCCTCTGTTGTGATGAAAATTTGAAGTTTTACCCAGGCGGCTCATTGAACATACAAAAAGGTTACTATTTGGAGGGAGAAGGAAGTAAATAGTACAGCTCTTAAAGTTAACATGTTCTTACCAGTTTCCTCTAAAAGATGGAATGAGGGAGACAAGAGGCATAGTTAATATTTCCCCCAAAAGAAAAGCAGACACTTCTTTTTTTGTTTGACACCAAAGCATTCAACGACATGGAGCACTCCTGAGCTCTCACCACTAGAGAGCATTAGGGTGAGAAAAGGCAACCATTAGATGCATGGCAATGTTTTGAGCACCTGGGATGCAAGTCTGCTTTTGTGAATTTTTTTTATATAAAGGTGTCTGCTGTCTTCCAAGAACACTAAAGTATGCTTTGGCAGCTTTGATGGTAGAATTTGTCAAACCTTTATTAAATGTAATATTCATTTGAAAATATCCTACACAAAGCTTGGAAGTCATTCTTGTGAAGCTTAAATGATGCTCTCAACAGCTTCTCTTTGATGCTGATGTTTAAATAGAAATTTTAATTTTAAATTTGATCATCTAAGGTAGGCTGAATTCTGAAAGGGTTACATAGGAAACAGTTTATTAACATGGAGATATATAAGGAATGCCTTATGCATTGGTAGCTAAACTCCTCAAGATGTAGGACATACTTAGTGTGAGGAAGACAGGGACTATTTCCAGGTTGGTTTGGTGACTTTATCTAACGTGTGATCACTAACAGCACTTTGTCTATTGAAAACATAGAAATAGTATTGCTTCAGAATCTGAAAGCGCAGTTTAAGTATCACTTTTCTTCCTTCCCATGGTTTCACAGAGGATTCGTGTTTTGGAAGCAAGAAGCTTGGTTAGAGCATGAAAAAAAAAGTCTCTTAACATTTGCTGCTATAGTTAAAATGTACCTTCCAAGAGGATTTGATTGTTGAAAAGTCAGCTCTACTTGAGGGAAAGTACAGCCAGAAAGTATTTTCTTGGAATGGAGTTGTCTATGGAACATTCAAATTAGAAAGTAGGTGTTGAGAAATGCTGTTGTTCTCCTGCTTTGCCGTGTTTCATAATAACTTTCATTATAAAGCAATGAGGAGAGTGGAGGGTAAATTCTTGTGTGGGAAGGGGGCATATAGGCTTTCTGATTATCTTGACATATGCTGCTATGCAACATGCAGAGTATTGCCGTACACAGTATTTTTTTCTAATACTTTCATTGAGGAGCTTGACAGAAAAATTTGTAGTAGGCCTATGTATGTGTGTGTCTGAATATGCAAACATAACTGTGCAAGAGTTTGACAACATACTGTTAAAAAAAAAAACAGTGTAGGTTTTTCACTATTAAGGTAATGGTAACAAGATGAGTGTATTTAATTGTGCGTTGGAAGAAGTGAAAAAAATCATTTACCTTGTGAAGGGCTTCATAATTTTCTTCAGTGATGTCCCCTTTTGTGCTGAGCCTGAGCTTGCATACGCTCATCTCTGCGGACTTGAAGCTAGCCTAGGAAGTGCAAAGGAAAGAACTGCACATATGCTCAAATGCACGAGAACTCTGCAGCGTGTGAATGTGCTGACTGCTATCTAACATAAAGGATCTGTTTTGTTCAGTTCTATCTTAAATGAAAGGGTTGAAGGACGTGGTTATACAATAAATTCTCATCACCTCATAAATGACATTGTGAGACAGGACAGTGGGGATGGTAGGATTTACAGAGCTTTCCTTGAGCACCATTGTTCCCTTTCATCCCAAGCTACTGTAGTTCTCTCTGCGGGCTGTTGATAGCCAAGAATATCTCCACTGGGAAAACCATGCAAATACAGTATGCTTCAAGTTCTAAGATATACTTCCTGATATAAGTATGTTGTGGAGCCAGCTTGGTGCTAGCATTTACAGCACTTAGTGCCAGAGTGCAATAAGTCAGAACTGGGGGCTGTAAATGACTGCTGAGAGTGCATGCAAGTGTTGTCAAGAGCTTCCTTAGCAATGCATTTTTGGTTAAAAAAAAAATAGTTGAAGTTGTATTCATTTCAAGAACAGTGACATCTGCCTATAGAAGCATTCTAAAACTTAGTGTTGTTTGGTTTATGTATGAGGGCTGAAAGCTTTCTGTGAAGGAGAGATGAAACAAAACAATCCCGAGTTAGTTGCTTTCATTGTAGTTGGGTATTATGCATATCTAGTTTATACGTGAGATTTTTTTCAGTCTAAATAATAGTTAATGTTTAATCCAGACCTAGAACATTCCTTCGAGTTGACTGTGATGCTAAGGATTTGGATAGATAACTTATTTCCATCTTTCAAATAAAAGAATTTTAGTTTGTCCATTCTGCCTGCTTGCGCTCAGTAGTTAGCTATTTAAAATCTCTATTTCTAATACCGTGGTGGATTTTTTTTGAGTTGTTGCTGATTATCCAAGTCTGTTTTGCTCAATACTTAGGGTTTTTTTTTTTTAATTTTTTTTTTTTTGGTCTTTTTTTTCTCTTGTCAGCAGCCATGCAGCAGGTACTGGATAACCTTACTGATCTGCCGACGTCGACAGGCGCTGAAGAAATAGACCTAATTTTTCTCAAAGGAATCATGGAAAACCCCATTGTAAGATCTCTTGCTAAGGTATTTCAACTTCCTGCTCTGAGTAGAATCTGAAAATGTTGTAACTGGTACTGTTACATGAACACTGAGTATGGACTGTTGTGTACCTTTGATGTATGGTATGTCTTGTTAGAAGGCTTGAAGGTGTTCTTGAAAACAGAGCATATTTGGTATAATTTCTGTGTACAACGATTTATTGATACATGGAGAACTAGAGGAAAGAGTAAAACTCAGAGACTTTGGTAGTATTGTGTTAATTTTACTTATGAAGACAATGTCAAAATACTTGAAATCAGAGGTATTTGGTTTTAATAGCGTTGTGACCCATGTTGTGTGCAAAACCTACATCCCTTGTTTTCTAGCATTTTTTCCAAAGATGAAATGTGAGAGTAATAATCTTCTTTCCTCCATGGCATAAACAAGTCGTCTTTTTGGCTCAGAATGACTTTCTGATCAACCCAATGAAATATGCTCTCCAAACCCTTTCCTGGATCTCAGAGTAATAGTTGGGCCTTTGATTGGCAGCAGTCAGACATGGGCTAGCCTTAGTTTTGGTCTTACATTATGCAACTACTTTATTCATAGGTGGTAGTATTCATTTATAAGTATCTAAGATGATGCTGACCCTAAAATTCCTTAGACTCTAAAGTTAAAATGTAGCTTATTTTATCATAAGAAAATGCAGCCAATATCATACAGCACTTGCATTCTTTCTTATTCTTCATAAAAATATGTTCCTTACAAGAGGAAAAAGAGTTAACTGAAATATAGCTGTCTCTTTAATATGAATAAACGTCTGAAGCAATGCCCTGTGGGCAGCCAGGAAATATCTTGTACAGCTAAAGGATCATTTTGCTCTATAAAAATCTGGAAAGGACAACATAAGAGTTTGTATAAGAATTCACTTTTGTTTAACTGTTAGTTACAAATAGAATGCAACTCAGAAGAGAGAAGCAGCAATATGTGTATTGACATAAAATAGCGATTAAATAAAATGGGGATTTCGCAGGGTTTGAGATTTCAAGGTACACTTGATTATTTACTTCATAGAAAATAAGATTAAACACACTCATCCAAGGGACACTTCCATTGAGTCACAAGGTTCAGAGTGGATCCCCTAGTTTTCCAAAGTCTTTGAACAGCAGAGCTAAGGGATCTAAGTGTGGCTGAATTCGCTCCTAGCCCCAGACTTGGTCCGTGGTTATGTGTGCACCATCAATCTACGATTTAATCTTAGCAAGCTTGCAAAGCTTAGCAAACTATTATTCACCTACTGAGGGTTTGTAGCAGCAAGGAATTTCTCGACATTGAAGTGTGAGGGGTCTCTGCAGCAGTGGTACCCTCAAGAACTGTCCCTACTTGTGGGCAGATCTGTTATGCAGCCAGCTGCTATGCAGGAGAGCTCAGCAAGCTCTTGGGCTGCTCATTATTTATGGAGTAAGATGACTGATTCACTCACATTTACGTACCGACTACAGATGTTAGTCTCTTTCAGATTTGTCTCGAGTCAAACACAGACTAGCACAGTTGTTAGGTGGGCAGATAGCTCAAATTAGCTGTTGGCTGTTATTTTCTATTTCCCGTCAGTCTGCTCTCAGCCAAATGCAGCCTTCATAACCGGTTTTCAACTACCCATCATGATTTGCCACTGGTGGTTATCTGCTGAAGTCAGATGCAGCCACCACAACCATCCATGGTGTTTATCACTCAAGCAGTGGCAGGACAAATGAAAGTCAGTAAAAGTCAGGTCAAGAAGAGCATGCCACCACACTGTTCAAAAACATTGGTTACATGTTGAAGAAGTTGCATAGGAATAAAAATAGAAACAGTGGAAGTGTCTCATCTTTTGGAGAGAGAACTGCAGAGGGGAGAATTTGTGTGCTAAATTTACTGGAGTTAAGTTAAATCACTTTGTTGATTAGAGTTGTTTCTAGCTGCAGAATCTGTTACATACTTCATCTATAATATTTATCGTGAAGAAAATGTTCATTGCAAAGAATTTGTAGTTTTCCAATAATTCCGAAGAATTTGTAGTTGTCCAATTATAATGTAACATTTAATTAGCAGGAATTTAACAAGCAGATTTAAAAAAAAAAAAAAGTGTTTGTAATAGAAACAGACATGATCTTAAGTACAAACTTGCTTTCTCAAGAATGCTGGAAGGCTTTAACTGAGTCCGTATGGCATGATCACACTCAATTTTTTTTTTTTCTGATTCTGCATTGAACCCTCAACTTCCATCCCAGACAGTAGATCTAAATGTGGACAAGGTCAAAATGATAACACACTTCATGAATGACATGCATGGAATTTGTACCAATACATTTGCCTCTAAAAGTGTATCAAATCTGTTTCCCTATTAGAAGAGTTAGTTTTGTCGGAATCGTGAATTCTCAGAGAGCTCTGAGATTGTCAGACTATTTGCACATTAATTTCAGACCAGACAGAAATGTAAAAAGCCTTTTCCTTTATTAGAATCACAGAGTCATAGAATGGTGTGGGTTAGAAGGAACTTCAAAGACCAACTAATTCCACATCTTCCACTAGATCAGGTTGCCCAGAGACCCCTCCAGCCTCTTCAAACTGTTTCAGTTTGCCTCTTACCCTATCAGTGAGCAGCAGTGGAAAGAACCTGATTCCATTTTTTCATACTCCCAGGTATTTGTACACATGGACGAGCGCGTCCCTCTAAAGACTTTTCTTCTCCAGCCTTAATGTTCCCAGCTCTCTGTCTTTCTTCATAGGAGATATGCTCCATTCTGTTATTTCAGTGGCCTTTCACTGAGCTCTCTCCAATAACTCCCTCTCTCTTGTTCTGGGCAGCCCAGAACTGGACACGGGTCTCCAGTTGTGGCCTTGCCAACACTGAGTTGAGGGGAGTCTGCTGGCAGCGTTCTGACTAATACAGCCCAGCATAGTTGGCCTCCTTTTCTGCAGATTGTTTTTCAGAATTCCTTTAAATCATCAGACTTTCTTTTCAACTTTGCCATTCAAATATATTTGACTAGGAGAAGCCTCAGATAAACTTTTCTCAAATGCAGACTGTATTTTTCCAAGTCAATTGCATAGTTCTGTTTTTGTTCTTCTAGAAGGTCTGCTTGTCCTGGGTTCTGAAGCAGAAAAAGTCTGAGGCTTGATACTGTTCAGAGAGGGCTGTTTGATGAATGTAGCATGGAGGCCATAGGAAACATGGACATGCAAGTGTATCTGACAGGTGCTGCTTTTAAGGTTTTTCATGTCACATTGTTAAGAACACAGAATCCTTCAGCAGTTACAAAGACAAAATGTACGGATTAGAATATATGTAGTGGTTCCTGTTTTCCCACTGAAGGATGCACCAAGAAATTAATTAAAAAGTTTAAAATTTGGAAGTACTATTTACTTGAAACTTAATTACGTTATAGTCGTATGTAATTATTATATCTTACAGGCTCACGAGAGACTAGAAGATTCTAAACTTGAGGCTGTCAGTGACAACAACCTGGAGCTGGTGAATGAAATTCTTGAAGACATCAGTCCCTTAATAAATAAAGATGAAAATATTGCGGAGTTGGTTGGAATACTCAAGGAACCGCATTTTCAGGTGCCTCCTTTTTACTCCTTTTCACTTTATACGACTCACAGCATTACTGTGCACACATGGATCTTAGTACAACAATGAAACAAAAACTGAACTATAGCCAACTTTAATGTAGGATTTTACTTGGATGCAGGGTGAAGAAGTAGTTGCATGGAGTTAAGAATGAACGTGACTTTAGCCTTTAGCGCTTCAAGTACATCTTCATTCGTGGTGCTGTCTCTATTGTAAGACTCCATGTGTACTGGAGGTTACTCCAGTGCTTTATTTGTAGATTGTCCAGGTGGTCTCAGTTCCTGATACATTCTGCATTTCAGTTCAGCTTTTTGCATTCATGCTCATGTCAGATGTACAGTTTGCAGAATGAATTAACTTGATTCTCTTACGCCATGTGATCTACATTGAGCTTAAATTGCAACTTTACGTCCTTCTCACTTAACGTGATGTTCTACTAAACATAAATGAAATTTTGATACTTTTGTTTTCCCATTTCTGCTACTCTATTACCAGTTTCCATGTTGGCCCTTAAGTATTAGGATTTGTAAATCCTCATTGGATTTTGCACTTTCTAGGCCAGCTTCAACTTGTTTTGGTACTTTGCAGTCTCTTAAATGAAAAAGATAGCAAAGCTTTTGCCACAGCATAAACACATCCTTTCTGAGATAGGTACAGAGCCATTCAAACATTTTTTGCTATACATGTTAAATCATGTTTGATTGGTTTTTGTTTTCTAAATTTTCAGTTGTACGCTATACAAACGTAATGGTGTGCATTACTGCTTAACATGGATAGGCACTGGAAAGGCTGACAAACTGTGCCATGGCCTGTTGGAACTAGGGAACACTTTATTACCTCAACTTTCAATGCTGTAACTGTTGGTGAATGCTGTTCTGAAGAGTAGTTTGTTGGCCTCCCTTGTGCTCTTATTTGTGCGTCATTACTAAGGGACCAAAGGCTTTGATTTAGAAAGTTACTGGTGAGTGACCCTTAAAATCAGTCTTTGATCTAGCAAAAATTGGGACTGGAAAAGGAAAGGATGAGTTTGGAGGAATTGGTAATTACAGTGCAAAAATATTGCAGTCATTCTGTTTTTGTTCTTGTTGTGTTTTCATTTAGAAAGTTTAATTTATTTCGTATCATTGTCAGACCTACAGTGATACTGTTTGATTCTTTTTTGGAAACTCATTTTAAAAATGCACGTCATATTTATTGCACGCTTTGAAGAAGATTGCATGTTCCCTCTTACACTGTTCCATTGGGTGAGTCATGAGCATGTACGAGAAATTAGTTATTTCTAGGCTCTCTGCTTCATTTGCTGCAAAAACTGGATGGTACGCAAAGAATCGGGTCGGAAGCTAAAAGAAAATACGACTTAATGGATAAGGTAGTTAAATGTTGCCTTTTGAGAAGTAAATTATCACTCACTTTGTCAGAGTTCAGGAGTTCAGAATTCACTTAAAAAAGAAAAGTCTAAAGCAGCTTAAGTTTTTGTGCTTCTGTTTCCATCTGGAGGCAGGCAGAAAAACAAAAATCCCTGAGGACAAAGTTGCATTATTTCGAGTAAGTTTTTTTATTTGAGATCTCTTTCTCTCTCTCTCTCTCTGTTTCTCTCTCTCTCTCTCTCTGAAAGTTAGCACTTTCTTTTAGAGTAGTTACTTATCCTTTCCACCTCATTTTTTTCATATTCCCAATTCTTCAAGGAGGAGAAAAAGGAAAAAATTCAATGTGATTTGTAATAACAGAAAATGTAATTTTCATTCTGTATCCAGTTTGGTGAAGTTGTGTAACAAGCCGCCAGGAAGAACATAACTTAAAGTTTCATGGATTCTATTGTGTAACTCTTTTAGGAACTGGTTATCTATGTTTAGCAAGTGAGTAGTACTGCTTTACCACAGTATCATCTTACACATATAACCTACCTTGGCATATAAGTGTCAAATGTGATATACAGGTATTTGGTGCAACAGCATATTAAGATGCATAGTGCTGAAAACACTAAGCTATGGAGTTGCACTTTTTGTTTTAACACTTTCACAGAAGATAAATTGGGCAGGGACTGGCTTATGGAGTATACATGCACTTATGATTATACTATTACGTTTGACTATCTGTTCCCTTTCTTTTTTCTCATTTCATCCTGGTTTTTCCTCCCTTCTACTTTTTATTAGTTTAAATTACATTTTTTAAGGGATCAGAGTGTGGAAAATATTAAGCTCTTATGAGTTCCACAGTATAGGTGGCTTTTGGTCAGGGCAGTATGCATGAAAAAGCCATGCACTGCATAGGGAAATTTATAGCAAGTGTTGACAGTAGTTGGAGAGCAGAAGTGGTGAGAGAGTTTGCCTCGAGGAAAGAGCGAGGAGTTGGAAGCATTGCACAGTTGGAGAGGTTAAACATGCAGAAAAATCACTTCTGCTGTTTATGGAAGAGCTCATTCAGTTACTTTCACCTTTCTCAGAGTTATGCAAACTGTTTTTAATAGTAAACTCTGTTGGGCAATAAATACTTCATCTTAAAACATCTCCTCAAGCCAGTTTGAAATGAACCTGGAATTGGAACATAGCTGGGCAAATAGTTACCATGCAGGTCAGGAAATGCTTCATAACCTGCATAAATCATGCTGGGAGGTTTCTGATTCTGGATTTCTTCTTCTTTTTTTTTTTTTTTTAGTTTTTTTAATTTTTATTTTATTGTTTATTTTGCTTGAAAAACAAAGATTTGAATTTGGCTTCAGCGCTGAAGAGAGCCTTGAATGCTTAATATTACTTTGTTTACAGAATTTAGAACTGTGCTTTTCTTTTTTACCTGGCAAATAAGTACAGCCACAGAAAAGTAAAGAATATGTTCTAAGTTAATGGATTACTTTTTGACAGTATCTTGCAGAAAGGAGCCAAACTGTCTGCCACAGTACTGTTTCCAGTGTTCTGTGTTTCTTGTGAAGTGCTGAGAACTCTTCTAAATGCCTTATTCAGCCACCATTGCTATTGTTTCCATGAGAACCTTTCCACAGTTACCCAGTGTTGGCTAGTTACTGATGCTGTTTATTTATAATATACTTAGGAAAATTTGAATCATTTATGGATGCAGACTGCTCAGTCCATGTTGTTTTGTGGACTTTGCCCGTGGTATTGTGAATGTTCTATCACCAGTATGGGAAAGGTCAGATTTCAGGGGAGCATTGGAGTTGCAGGAGCAGAAGATATCACTTTTTCAGATACCATAGGAAGGCAAAAAGTCAAATCCATGTAACTATGTTTCTTCAGTCACTCAACTGTATTACTAAAATAAGAAAGTAACTGTGATCAACATAAAATGTTCAAGAGTGATCCAATAATATTTACTTGGCTTCTCCTGCCAGGTCACTTTCTTGTAAGTGTTCCTCAGGACAATACACCATGACCCATCTTGATGGAAGCAGTCCTTTAAACCTGATGTAGAATCACAGAATCACTGAGGTTGGAAAAGACCTCCGAGACCATCCGGTCCAACTGTCCACCTACCACCAATATTTCCCCATGAAACCATGTCCCTTAGCACAAGATCTAAATGTTTCTTGAACGCCTCCAGGGATGATGACTCCGTCACGTCCTTGGGCAGCCCGTTCCAGTGCCTGACCACTCTTTCGCAGTAGAACTTTTTCCTGACATCCAGCCTGAGTCTTCCCTGGCACAACTTCCCTCTAGTCCCCTCGCTAGTTATGAGGCAGAAGATGCCAACATCCACCTCCACAACCTCCTTTCAGGCAGCTGTAGAGAGCCATAAGGTCTCCCCTGAGCTTCCTCTTTGCCAGACTATCTATTCTTGTGTTTTGGAAGTGAGAGTTAGTTATGGGAATATAGTAAATGAACTATATGAGGTTGTTTTTTGGTTTTGTTTTGAAAATGAATATATTTCTTGTCTCAAATCATTTTGTAATTATGGGCAGCAATTTACAGTCCCTGATAGTCCTTCTGGACTCAGCTATCATGGAAATAGCAGGGAAGAGATTTTTTGATTGACAGATGGTTAAGTAGCAGTTGAAAGAACTCATGCCTGTCCATGAAATGGAATGAATAAATAGGATGAGAATGTGAACAATGAGATGAGTTTTTAAAGTTTTTAAGAACTGAAGAGTATTATGGAGCATGTTAATTGGAAAAGAATGGCACTGTTTGTCTAGTAGTCATTTTTTGGCTGTGGATCCAATTGTAATCCATAAATTAGATAACTGTTCAGGGCAGTGAGCTGTACAGAATGCTTGTGTGTGAGCTTTGTGAGAAACTGACTGGTTTGTGGCCAGAAATTTTGGCAGCAATTGTTTTCTAGCATGTGACCAAAAGAGAAAACTAGAATTATCACACAGGTTCATCTACTTTGTTTTGTCTGTGGTAATGTGTCAAAAGACATAGCTAATACTAGTCGGTTTCATTTTGGAAATGTAAAAAGGGTAAAACATGTTGCTCACACATGTGGGCAAACAGAGATCTGTTCTCTTGGTTTTTGGATTGGATGCATCTTGGATGATGAAGAATTAGGAATTGCTACCATCTGACTGCTGCTTGATTTAAATAAATAATTGTTTTTTTTCTGTTTCATTCAATTTGGTTTATGTCCACAATACCAGAGCAGCCACAAGCCTTCACGGTCTTAAAAGCAGGGGCAAAATTAGTAGCAGAATTAGTCACTCCTCTAATCTCAAGTTAAAACATCAGCAGGGTCATTCTGTAGTGGGCAGTGTAAAATGGCTGCTTGCTAATGGCGCTTTGAGGATTTTCACATTGAGCTTAGCACTGTGTTAATGTGGTTGCACAGCTTTTTAGAGGTTACTTACAAAAAAGTGGAACAGGCTGCATAGCAAAATTGTTAAATTCAATACAGGCCTGTCCTCCTGTTTTCTAGTACTGTTTGCTGATTTCCTTTGGCATATGTGTCACTACCACTGATTGCCCCTATGATGTCCTGTTCTCTTTATCTCCTTATTTGACACCGGTCAGTAATGTAACTTATGACCATGTCTCATCAGATCATTTTTGAAACAAAGCTGTTTATGTTGCTTACGATAACATAGGCCTAACAGCCATCTCTCCTGCTTGCTTGCTTTCTTTCTGCTATGTGTCAGAGAGACTGTGCATCACTGGACACTTTTTAATGGACTATGTTATGTGGTGGTTGTAGTGTGTCCCTTTTCTTCCTTAACATAGCCTCTGCCATCCAATACACAAGTTTTATCTTTCTTTACCTGTACATATTGTCTTAGAAATATTTTAACTCTTAAAACACTTTTTTTAATAATAAAATATAAATTCCATACTCTTCCAGAGATTATTGTATTTGTTTGGATACACCATAAATTTGAGATCTAAGCTCTTGCTTTCCAAAAGTGAATTCTGTCAACTTGGATTAATTTGCTGTTAGAATTCTGCAAGCAGAAAGTACTCATTCTGCAGATTGCTAGAAATTCTTACATACCTGCAATTATCTTTAATTTACCCTTACTTCCAAATTAATGTGGAGGAAATCTTTTTTACATTAAACACAAGTATCTGATAATGAGTTATGTTCATCTTTTTGCAGCTGCTTGTTTGTTTACTTCAACCATTTGCTTGGATACTGTTTCATTAGGTGAAGCTCTTTTGCAGTTACTCCTTTTTCCATCTTCTTCCCTGTAATTTCACATTTGCCTCCCAGAAAAATTATATTTCTTCTGTGTTTTCTTTAGAAGAATCACTTGTATTTACATAAGAGAACATATTTGCCAAGCCAGTAGGGTTAGCAGGACATGTGAGTGCTTCTGTTTCATACAAATATAAAAACTGATTTTAGGTGTATACCATAGGAAATATGTTTTCAAATCAGATTCTAAAATGGCAGTTTTAGTGGTTATCAGCAAAATCTCTTTTAAAAATATTTATTTCAGTATTTTAAAAATAGCTTTTTCTGTTCCCTTGTAGTCACTCTTGGAAGCACATGATATTGTGGCTTCAAAATGTTATGATTCCCCTCCTTCTAGTCCAGAAGTCAATAATTCTTCAGTGAACAATCAGATTGTTCCAGTAGATGCTATTCGTATTCTTGGAATTCACAAAAGAGCAGGAGAACCTCTGGTGAGTGATTGAAGATTAATAAGTCTTTAAATTAAAATGTAAGTGAAAGCATTTGCATGTGCCTAATTTCTTGCATTAAGTTTTAATTTTTAGCTTTATTATACTGTGTAATTTAATGGGTCATGATTGAGAGGTAGGAATAGGGAGATTTGTATGTTCTCTACCCTGTTCTCCCTAGGAAATCGTGGCCTAACGAACAGGCAGTCAATGGGCAGATTTACCTGCTAGCATAACTGCCTAATGCAGCATGCAGCATCTGTTTGGTCTTCATAGAAAATGACAGGACTGCATGCAATCACGAACAATGAAAATCTTGTCTGAAAGTACTCTGTCACTTGATACTTACCTTACTCGACTCTTACGTTGTGTTATTGTCTGACATCACTGGGGGAGACAGTGTCCCGTAGATGTATATTTTTCGCTTGAGATGATGGTAAAATGCAATTGAAGTTCAGACAGTGGTAAAGTAGGTGTTAATACTTCTTTCAGGGTGTTACATTTCGAGTTGAGAACAATGATCTGGTTATAGCACGAATTCTCCATGGTGGAATGATAGATCGACAAGGTCTTCTGCATGTAGGTGACATTATTAAAGAGGTGAACGGCCACGAGGTTGGAAACAATCCAAAAGAATTGCAGGAACTGCTGAAAAATATTAGTGGCAGTGTCACTCTGAAGATTCTCCCCAGTTACAGAGACACGGTTATTCCTCAACAGGTCAGTAGCTCCTTTCTAACATTTCTGTCAAAAGATCTTCTACTTGGTACTTGAGAGAGTAAGATTAGGAGCAGACGTTCTGAGATTTTTGTGTGTGTATTTAGTGCTAGCAAAAGGGGTAATACTTGTATTTGCTTTAAAGTACATATTAGAAATGAGATTATTCAGTGTACTGAGATGATGTCTGCTTAAAAAATTATTAGTATCTTAGACTGATAAGCATTTGTATTCATGCAAAGCTGTTTCTTTCACCTCTGATGACCTAGCCACAGTCACAATGAACTGCAGTAAAGTGCTTGTGTTTTTAAATGATCCGTGTCCAGGTAGTGTTTCATGGAATTCAGATATACATATTGCATTCAACAGATGAGTTGACTTTAGGAAGCAACTTGGGTAGTGCTTACTCCATATCCTTCTGCTGTTGCCGTAGACGGTCAGTTTAGCCAATGCAGAAGTGATTTGTTGCTCTGAACGAGAGCATTTGAAACATCCTGTAAGACTCTTTCAGGTGGTGGATGTTAATGCCCATGAAAATAATAGTTACGTTTACATTCAGCATATTTTGTTGGTCTTAAAACATTGAGTTAATAGCAAATGTAATTCTTAGGATCAAACAAACCTTGAGAACAGAGTTTGAGCTCTGAGAAACGTTTGTGTTTTTAAGTAAGTCAAAGTTAGATTAGTAATTAAGTTGCATATACTGAAGTGAAAACACAAATACATTGTCCAGTCGAGCAGCTGGCTTTTTATTTTTGTCTTGCAGCTCCCTTAGCTAAGGTTTGCACTGCACATTACTTCTGCTCTCTCAGCTGGTTTGCTCTTTGTTTTTTTTCCATAACTTGCCTCTTACTTGAGAAATGCAAATTCCATCATATCAAACTTGTTATGCTGTAGGTAAAGACACTACTTCAACTTGACAGATGAGTTAGTAAGAATGGATTTTGTAATGTTTAAGCACTGTAAATTTTTCCACATTTCAGGTTTTTGTGAAATGTCATTTTGATTATAATCCATATAACGACAACCTCATCCCATGCAAAGAAGCAGGATTGAAATTTTCTAAAGGAGAAATTCTTCAGATTGTAAACCGGGAAGATCCAAATTGGTGGCAGGTTGGTAAATAAATCAATACTAAAAAAGAAAAAGTTTCGTTAATTTCCTTTATGATAAACTTTTTAATTTAAACTACTTAACGGCAGATAGAAGAAAAATATTTACATTGTAATCCAGTTTCAAGCTCTTAGTATTGGAAGTGAAAATATAAGCAGTTGCAGTAGTAGTGCATATAAATATATATATTATAGTGGTAGAAATAGCTTATGTAGCACTGTGTTTTTACTGTTACTGCTGTTTTTATGAACACACACATGTTCATAACCAAAGTGCTCAGCATTGTTTCAAACATAAACAGCTCATCATGTGAGGGGATGCAGGAAATTTATTACTGCCAAGCTAATTAACTTCAGAAGTTGAGCAATCTCAAACTTCAGAGTAGTTTGACATTTAGCTTATGTGCTGTCTTTGGAATAAATTTTTCAAAATTCTTCAGCTTGTAACTTGTGGGTGTCCAGGAGAAATAAATCCAGTGTGCTTATAAACACCTTGATGAGTGGCAAAAATGAAATATATTAAACTAATATATGAGTATGGTTGCAGGTTATGCCACTGGGAAAGAAAGTTAGATTTTTCCTTGGCCATTCTGTAAACTGTAGACTGTTACTGGGAATTCATGAACTGTGAAAAAATCAGAGAATCACTACTAGGTAAAAGCATACATCTCGAAAAGCAAACAGGTCTTGCTAGCAAGTGACAGGCCAGCTAGGTATGGGAAAGTGTAACATCTCATAACTGTGTGTTTGTATACGTTAAGCTTGCAGAGAATTGAGCCTGCCACTAAATGATTTTTTTAGAAATTCTGAGCCAAGCTTTCATTACCAAGAATACTTATGTTACTGAGATTTAAATCTGTAGTTACACAGTACAGAAGCTTGAAGGCATTGATGAGATCTGTGCGTAACATTCCCAGTTTATAAAATGACAGTTATTAAGCTATGCTGGAATCTGTTTGAAGTTGCTCAAGAATACAAAATAAAGGCACTGTGTACTATAATGCCTTGAGTTTTGTCACTTGAGAGCTGTAGCTGTTGAGTTCCATTTGGGATTTTTATGCTGAAAGTTTATGACTGGCTACAGGAGGCTAACAGAATGGGAACCAGTTACTGCAGAACCTTCACCACTGAGAAATTTGGTCAGGGTAAAAGTCAGTCATCGAGATGTCGTGAGAAAAATGCTTCTTACATGTCTCCTCTGATTTTTTTTATTTTTATTTTTTAATTTTCAGGCTAGCCATGTCAAAGAAGGAGGAAGTGCAGGACTCATTCCTAGCCAGTTCCTGGAAGAGAAGAGGAAGGCTTTTGTGAGAAGGGACTGGGACAACTCAGGTGAGGTTTAAGAGATTTCAGGGTTATGTTTTGCTCTGACTCAGTTTGTTTCGCTTTTACTATCTTCTCAGATACTTGAAAATTGTTGTATGGGAATATTGCTAAATGCTTATGATTATGTGTGCATGGTTTTGGCTTTGAGTGAAGGGCAGAGGCTAAAGTATGTGCTTAGTCTTTGTAGATACATGAATCAGTTTTACTACCTGCTGATGAAAAGCTGAGTGAGGTGGGAAAGCTGTACGGATTACTCTCTTTTATTCAAGATGTTTTTATTATATGCATTAAAAGTTAATAGGTGTTTTTGAAAGATTTTTCTAGGACTTTTTCAACTTTCTTGGAAAGCTTTTTTCTTCTGTGTTCTATTCTTTCTGCACTCCGTAATGTATATGAAAGTAGAAGTAATGTCCTTCCCTAGAATAGATGATTTTGGAAAAAGGAAGGTAATAATTTATTGAAAATAGTCTTTTCAAGTGCAATTAATGTAAACTTACACGTGTTCACGGAAGTCAGGTATGTAAATACTTTCAGGAAAAATGTTGAGCAAGAATGCTGATTTTGTCTCAATTTTTATCTGTAGGGCCTTTCTGCGGAACAATAAGCAGCAAAAAAAAGAAAAAGATGATGTATCTTACTACAAGAAATGCAGGTATCTTTGAATTTTACATATGAATCGAAGTTCTCTATGCTTTTAAACTTGAATAGTCTGGTGTGTCCAAAGGTGAAAGATTTGCAGTGAAATATTTGGCTAGGCAGTGAAATTTGGTCAGGGAGGTTTGTTGTTTAAAAACAATTGTGACCAGTGTAGATAAAATGGTACCAAGTATACACGTTTCAATAGGTGGAAGTCAGAGAAGAACTCTGTGTTAAAAGAGAAAAAAAATTATAACTTGCTAGTGAACTAAGGGAGGTGATCCTTCTCTGCTCAACACTGGTGAGGCCACACCTGGAGTCCTGCGTCCAGCTCTGGGCTGCCCAGAAGAAGAGACAGATGGAGTTACTGGACAGAGCTCAGTGAAAGGCCACCAATATGTCAGAAATGGAGCATCTCCTCTATGAAGAGGGACTGAACAAGAACTGGGAATGTTTAGGCTGGAGAAGAGAAGGCTAAAGGCAGAGATCTCATCAATGTGTAGAAATACCTGAAGGAATGAGCTGAGACAGCAGAGCTAGGCTCTTTTCAGTGGTGCTCAGCAAAAGGATAAGAGGCAGTGGGTACAAAATGAAACTCAGGGATTTCTGAACATCAGGAAACACTTTTTATGCTGTGTGTGATTAAATGCTGGCACAGGCTGAATGCTGGCGTGGAATGGTTGTGGAACATTCCTTGGAGATATTCAGAAGCCACCTGGACATAAGTGGCTGTTAGAACTCATTTTCTTCTTACATTACTGAATAGGTATTAACTATTTTTTGGTATTCTTCTTAATATAGAATTTGATCGTCACGAAATCCAGATCTATGAAGAAGTAGCCAAAATGCCTCCTTTTCAGAGGAAAACACTGGTCTTAATTGGGGCCCAAGGAGTGGGACGAAGAAGTTTGAAGAATAGGTTTATAGTACTGAATCCTACTAGGTTTGGAACTACAGTGCCATGTAAGTTGTCAGCACTCCTGGTGTAATACCACACTTTGAGTTTCTCATCTGAAAAATATGGGAAGTTTATCCCATTCATTGGTGGTAGAAGTAATTTCTCAGAGTATGTGAATTGTTTGTTGTGGGAAAACAAAAGAAAAAAGCATTCTTCATCTTTTCAGACAACGGAATTAGCATATGACAACAGTTAAGGTATTTGCAACTACCAATTAACTGTAACTGCTGCTGCTGAAAACCACTATTTAAGTATCTGCTGGGTTCATTCAGTGTCGGTTGCCATCACTTGAGGGGATCGTAGAAGTTGCTAGCAGTCTTCTGTAATAATCAGCCAGTGGAGTTTCTCAGGTCTGCTGTTTTGTTTTTTGTCTGTGGAAGCATCCTAGGCATTATAAATTGTTACTGAAGTATTGGAAGCGTAGGGAAAGGAAAGATGTAAACTTCCAATAAAATGGGAGTGTTTGTGATCCCTAAGGTCCGTATGATTATCTGATGTTTTATTCATCTGGCCTCAAACCTATGATCTTTCTTTTTTACTATCATTTTCAGAAAAAGAACCTCCTCTCCTCCTCCATTACTGAAATGTTTGTTTTCTTGTCTTTGCTACAGTTGGTTACTTTTGCTCACTTACAGGATGGGTGGTGGTGGTGTTTGCTTTTTTTTTTTTTAAAAAAAAACACAGCTTGTCAGTCTTCTGTTTGAACACAGATGCGAGACCCTTCTCTGCATTGCTATTCTCCTCCTGCCACCTGCCCTTCAGAATTTCAAAGCCAATTTGTTTCTCCTGTTTCCAGTTGGTAAGAAGTAGTGCTGATAAAAGGAGAGGAGGAACAGGTCTTAAATGAGATGAATTGTGCCGTGTGAGGGGAGAACCTCTCTTTCCTCGTGTGCTCATTGTCTAACCATTGGAACTGGCTAGTGCACAAGCCTTTTGTGAAGCTAATAAAAAGGTTGAGGGCACAGTGTTATTTTTTTAATGAAATCTTCCTTTGGAAATCCCATTGTTTATTAACTGGCAAAGTAATATGAAACTTTGTTACTTCAGTTTTTTTCCTCCTTTTTAAAAAGCCCTCAAAATTACCGATGTCTCTAAAACACTGTATCTGCATATCAATAATGTAACGCTGTGTTAAAATGCTTTCACTTGGAGCTCTTGAATACCCTTCAAGGTATCAAAATACACTTTCCCAAGCACCTGGCGGTTTCACTGCGTGCGTTCAATCTGCAGTTTGTTGTATGTGACATTTCTACTTTATATTGAGATTTTTCAGTAGGGTGATCAGTAGTCAGCGTAATCAGGCCTCAGTTTCTTTGACTAGAAGAAACTTCTGATTATTCACAAAAGATGTTTTTTATGTATGTTGGAAGATGGCTGAGATGGATCTGTGATGCCATAGGGTAAAGCACATCCTTAGTGTTGAGCCCAGATCCAGCAAAAGTGGCTGTTTTTTGAGGTTTTTTTCCTGCAGTTTGGGTAGCTGAACTCAAAAGTCATCTTCTGCCTGTGAGCGATCACACCTCACTCTCCAAGGTGTATTTCAAACTCCTCCTTTTTTTTTTTTTTTTAATATTGTATCAATCATTTGACTCCCAGTCTGACTGTGGAATCTTGTCTAAGATTAGGTGTTGGAGTAGCACTTGTATTACTAACAGCTTCAGAAGATTCTTGAGTTCTCTGTAATAGTTAAGTTGGTAGAAATCACTGGAGAGGTGGGAATGCTTTTTAGTTGTATCACAGTATTACAAAGGGATCCATTCACTGTTACTGTAAATATGTTCCAGAGTTCAAATCTAATTGAATGCAAATAGTGGGCAGTAATACAGTGATAGGGCAGCAAAGTAGGTAATAATCTGGTATTTTGTTTTATAATGTAATTCCATGTTCTTGCTTAAATAATATCTGTGCTGTAAATTGTGGGCCAATATCTAAGCTGGCTCATGTTTCACTTAAGTGTGGGCTTTAATTTCTGTGCAGTGAACATTCTTCGCTGCGAAGGGTAAGTTGTCCTGGGAAGTAGCATCAGCTGGCCTCCACCAAGTTTCTCATTGCTGTGGCTGGGCTTGTTCTGGCATAGGAGCTAATTTTTCTTAGAGCTACTTCAGGTGATTCTGCCTTGAATAACAGTGAGTGACGTATGTGATAATATTTTTGGGGGGAGTAGGACGGGGTGGATCTTGATGTGTATTCACTTGGTTTTCAGAAGTCAGTTTGTCATCTGTGAGTTCCATTTCATTGAAGTTCCATTTCATTTGCAAGTCATTTAAATAACTGTTTTCAGTCAATAATTAAGAAGATGATATAAATGCATATTGTATATGGTTTGTAGGAGTAATGCAAAAGAAAAATAAATATCTAAGGGTAAGCAGTGTGTAGCAAAGAACAGAAATAAAGAGAATGGGAAGGGCTGTGCACAGTTCTGGAATGTATGCTAGAATAACTGATGACTCTGTATATGGAACCATGATAATTACGCTTCATTCCTTATCATAATCTCCATAATTTAAAGGCAGCCCAATCTTGTGCACGTATTCCAAGTACAAAAAGATTAACATTCAGTTTGTATTTTAAATTTTTTTCAAGTTACTTCACGAAAGCCAAGGGATGATGAAAAGGATGGACAGGCATACAGATTTGTGTCACGAGCTGAAATGGAGATGGATATTAAAGCTGGCAGATACTTAGAGCATGGAGAATATGAAGGAAATCTTTATGGCACTAAAATTGATTCTATCCTTGAAGTTGTTCAGACAGGAAGGACCTGCATTTTGGATGTGAATCCACAGGTATATCATTCATAATGTTACACTAAAAATGTGGAGTATAATGTTGATGAGGCATGCCTTTAAATCCGAAGGCTTCTGACCTGGTTGAAAGATTATGCTGCCAACTGGATTTGTGGGTTTATGGAACTGAGCTGGAGTAAGTTACAAAGATGGTGGGGAAAAAACAGATTCTGCATGGAAATGGGAGCCTTGCAGAGTAGCAGTTGCTCTTTTCAGAGCAACTGCTGAAATGATGCTGAGCATTTCAAAGGGCAATGTAGGAGTTTCTGAAATAGAATTAAAAATCTTCCCCCATCTTGTATTTCTACTGGTTGTAACATAATAGTCTTGCAGTGCCCCTTAAGTAAAGGGGATGTTTTGGTTGGTTTGATTGGTTGGTTGGTTGGATGTTTGGATTTTTTTTTCCCTCTCTTTTTTAATTGCTTCCAGGCCCTGAAAATACTGAGGACTTCAGAATTCATGCCCTACGTAGTGTTCATTGCTGCTCCAGAGTTGGAGACTTTGCGTGCTATGCACAAGGCAGTGGTAGATGCTGGAATTACAACCAAACTTCTCACTGTAAGCAGATTATTTCATACTTACTTTGCTTTGAACAGGATGTTCTTTATTTATTTTCATTTTTTTAATTTTTTTTTCTAAAACCGAAGTCTTCAAGAAAAGTAAGGCAAGATATTTGCTGATTGCTTACTAGGAATTAATTAAACCCTATGTATAAGGCAGAGTGCTTCTTCCTTAAAAATAGCCCTCTTACAGACAGTGTTGATTACCTGAATTACCTGGAATGTATTCTTTGGGAAGGGCCACCTTTGATTATTTACAGCGAGTTATAGATACCTTGATGGCAGATGTTCTTTTACATAAGCGCTTTTCCTTCACTTCACCACCTCACCCCCAGCACAGTTGTTTTTTCAGGTTTGTCTTTATGTTATGGGTGTGCCTTAAAAAGGTAATCTGTAATCCTTAGGAAAGACATTACAGACTGTTTGGAAAACAAAAACAAAAACCAACAAAACAGAATCAAAATAAACAAACAAAAAAGCCAAACAAAGCAACCAGAATTCAACTGGACCTCATTTCCACTGCTGCAGCAGCACACGCTGCACCAGAAATGGCTGAGAGCTGCCAGAAAAAGCAGCATTGAATAGCTTCTCCTCCTGTGATGTTCCTTGGATTTGTCACGTAAAGCAAAGTGGTACATTTTATTCCTCAGATCCTGTCTCCTTTTCCGAGACCCAGCGGAGACAAATGAGAGGCATAGCAAATTATAAATGTTCTGTACGGGTTTGAACTTTCCCACTGCACGACCAGTGCAAAAAAATAAATAAAGCTCAGGCTGGGCAGTTAATGAAATGATTCTCTACGCTCAGCAGTACGTCTTCCCCTTCTGGGAAAAGCCCTGGCATGCTGACAACTCAGCTGTGGTTGTATAGCTTAGATACTAGTAATACCTTGTGTGATGCTGATGGGGCATTCCAAGCTATAAAATGAGATTTAATTTGTACGGAAGGAATGTGGGATTTGTCTTTTTTTTTTTCTCCTGAAACCTGTGAGATTCTGTTCTGTAAACAATCTGAGAAACCCTAGTTGTGGACTCAGGTTGTTATGGATTCTGGTATGTCCGTGGGTGCTTTGTGTTTCCTCCTTCCTCCAAACACTGACTTTTGCCTTGTGTAATCAAGAGGCAAGATTAAGACTGTCCAGACAAGTATAAAAGTAATTTCCTGCACTTCCTAAAATTTGATTCCCTAAGGGACATCCTTGCTTTTGTTTTACTTCCCCTGTGAATAAGAAAGAGGATAGTTACATATAAAATATGCACTTTATGAATCTCTACGGATTCTGCATCGTGATGTTGGACATCTGCAGCTTCCTGAACAGAGAAGAAATGTGCATTTAAAGTATTACATTTAACATTTGCTAGTGGGTCTGTCTACACCATTCCTGGCTTCCCAGGCCACTGCAAGAACTCTGGCTCCTGTGGTGCTGCATTTGCTTCCCTCCTTCATTTACTGTGAAAGGAAGGCTATTCACATAGTTCTTAATTTTGGCTTTTGTATTTACCACTGTAGTGGCATTTTAAAGATCTGAGATTCATTCAGAAATGCAGCTTTCATGATCTTTCATTGCACGCTAATTCAAATTCTTGGGGTTTTGGTGCTTTCTGTAGGGAAGAAAAAAGAGGCATAAATAAATGTACATAACCGACCCAATTACTCCCAAAGCATTACCTATTGTGACTGAATTGTCAGCTGCCTCCACAAAGTGACAAACTGTCTGTTGTGCACACAGGGCCCCTTTCATGTGCTGTTATTGACTTCCTTAAAAATGGCCAGCTGTGCAATATTTGGTTTCCATATTTAACACTGTTGACATCAAATTTAAATTGTCAGTCCCGTCAGTGCATCTTAGCTTGAGGGTTTTGTGGCTTCATTGTAAATATTTTATTTTCTTAATACGTAGCAGTATCAAGCTTTAAATGAAGTCATTCATACTACATCACTGCTACTTCTCCATTGGTAAGGATGTGGCAGGTCTTCTGTTCTTAGTAACTTCCAAATGCTTCCAACAGGACACTGATCTGAAGAAAACAGTGGATGAAAGTGCCCGGATCCAGAGGGCGTACAACCACTACTTCGATCTGACCATTGTAAATGACAACCTAGACAAAGCCTTTGAGAAGCTGCAGACTGCTATAGAGAAACTGAGGCTGGAACCACAGTGGGTCCCGATTAGCTGGGTGTACTGAGATTGCTGAAGATGAGCTTAAGTAACAAATAAAATCAACTGCAGGAAACAAACTAACGTGACAAGATGTGGTGTAGATAGCGATGATAACTGCGGCGCCTGCGCATTTTTACTATGTGTATATTCAAAAGTACACTATTCTGACTTTTTATAATAATGCTGAAGGGAAAGTGTACTTAAATATGTAATTTATTTTAATTTTTCTAACTTTTTACAGATAACCTTTCTATTCATATCACATGAAGGAAATGCGTTTAAGCATTTTATACGTTTTGATTTAGTACCTTTGCCTTTTTCATCTGAGAAACTTTCAGTCCTTCACTTTAACATTTACATCTTGGTCTTACATTTTCACTGTGACTAAAAAGAGGATACTTGAAACAATTTTTGTAGAACTTGTTAATGTCAGTGTTTGACCGGTCAAAAGTCTATAGCTCCTATTAGGAAACAACACTGGTTTCTTTTTTTTTTTTTCCTTGAAGTAATGATTTGACAGGAGTAGAATTTCAAATGCTAAAAGCAACAAGTGACACAGCTCCATTGCTCCAGCTTCTTTCTGCTGAATGTTGAAGCATTCTCGATGTTTCACGAATTCCTGGTGTCTCTTGATTTAGACAACTGTTCTGTAGGTTCCCTTACGTGTTTCTTGAAATCACACGAAGCAATACCTTGCATGCTGCTCATCAGCTGTTCCTGGGAGCCAACCTGTGTGAAGCCTCTTGTGGTGGAAGTACCTACGGCAGGGAGCGTGTATGCAAGGTAATTCAGTGCAGTGCTGAATAGCTGGAGAGAGAACCTGATAGCGGAGCCTTGTAGAGTAAAGCTTAGTATTTAGGACTGTTGTATTCATGCGTGTGAAAACACATTGATTTTAAAAAAAGCAAACAAACAAAAAACAAACAAAAAAAAGAACCCAAGCCAGAATTTTCTTTTCTTAGGACATCATTGATGTTTAAATAGTGATCTGTGGCTTAATTTCCTGAGATATCTTGTGTTCTCTTTTGGAAAATTTGTGTGATCAAACTGTTGTATTTTTGAGTGTGATGTAATGGAATTTCTGTGCTCTTTGTTGCATTGTGTTTTTAATTGATTTTTTCATTAGGTAGCTTGTAAATTGGAAGCTTACTGCTAAAAAGCCACGCTGTTCATAATTTTTGTGCTTTACAACATACTTCTTTTTGTGTTTGGTGACAGTTCTCCCCTTTGTAGGCTCATAGACGTAAGTCACGTTAGGTTCATCGATCAAAGCTTATGCTAATGTAAGTTTCTGCTTGACAAGAACAAAACGAAAATACAGCTTGTCACTGAGACACGCTCTCTTTGTGATCACATTTTATATTACTCTGTTAGCTGTTGTATATAGCAACATTCACCATCGCTTTCCAGGCTAACAGAAGTCATCTATTTGCTTAATTTCTCTTCCATCTGATGACAGGCACCTTGCTTCTGAATTCTTTTTCAACACCAAAGTGTGATACAGAACATTCAAAAAGGCAATTTCCTCAGAGGTTTTTCTGAAGAAAAAGAGGCCTGCACACTGTAAAGCAGTATTGGTTCCTAGAGCCCTTAAAGCCTTCTACATGCACGTGAGAATCTACTGATATAAGAAAAGCTTACATCCCAAAAAGCAAAACCACCCCACCTATATGCTACAGGTGATTTTTAAAGCTGATGAAGTTGGTTGTTTGGCAGGAGGCAGCTTAAGATCGCAGTGCATTTGGAAAATGTTTGTCAGAGCTGTGTAAGCATGGGGTGTCGTGGCTCTGAACACGGAGATTTCAGTCTTGTGGAGGGAATCTGAAAGTTTCAAAGGAAAATCTGTGCCACTACTTTTGGTTTAGTTTGCTCCGGTTTTATTTAAGCTGGGTAGAGCTTTTAAGTGTGGCAGCATCAGCACTAGCCCTTTATTTGCCTTTCCCAGAGATGTGTTCTGTGATCCTGTCACTCAGAGACTGCTCTGAGAAATAGATGGAGTGTTTTATATGGCAGCAAAGACAGCAGAGCCGTTGCTTGACTACTTCAGTGGTTTCGTTTTGGCATTATAAGCTTAACGTGATGGAACTGTGTTTGTATGCTGTGTCATAGAAGACCTACATGTGCTGTAAATAAGATGTGCTTCCCGGACAGATGTGATGCCTTTTCCTTATGAGTTAGAAAATACTCTGTGATGCCAAAAGTGGGCTGAGCTCACTCTTCCTTAACAAACGGCATGAGATGATTCTTCAGTTTCCACCCCACAGTGGTTCATATTGCAAACACCACTTGTTGTCATCGTTTTTCAGACAGGTGCTCAGCCAAAAGAATCCCATGAGACATGGGCACCAAGGGTCAGTGACGAAAACCTCGCTCCTCCTATTTCCACCTCAGAGATCACACTGTGCAAAGGGCCTACCCAGTAAGCAGTCTCCAAGTAGCTGTGTATTTGCTGAAGCCTGAAGCTTTAGCTTTCGCTTAAGCTCCACAGTGTTTAGCAATCAAGCACATTTAAGTCAGCACCGTGGAGCCCAGCAGCTGACCCTTTGCTGCTGTTAATATAGATGCTAATGAGAAGTACAATCTGAGGCAATAAGCAGTGGGTTGCTAAGGTTGCATTCAAGAACCGTTATCAAAGTGAGAGCAGGTTTTAACTGGATGGTCACATGCGAGTTCAAAGGAGGAAAAAATACATTCCTTGCATCTGTTTGTTAAATCATATGAACTGAGAGTCCATGCTGGCAGGTGTGTAGTGTTTGGGAATTATTTTTTTCATCAGATATTCTGCTTAGATTATTGTTGCCCAGTAGGGTGACTGGATTGAAAATAAGTTACTTTTATTAAACCAAAGCATTCCTGGAGAGTCTTGGAAGGAGGATGTCATGTTGGTCACGTACACGGTGGTGCCAGACTCCACCTGTTATAGTGTGCTAAGTCAGAAGTTGGGCAGGGAGCTGTGAGGAAAAAGATGGTGTGAAAGGCGAGTTCTGAGCAAGGGAAGCCATTTCATATAAGAGCTGTTTGAAGTATTCCTGGGGGATAAATAGCTAGGATGTCAAGTCTCTCATTCTGTACTGAGCATTCATTTTCCAGATAACAGGAAAACTTTTGCATTGACTGTTAATAATGATAGGTGTGTCTGAGCGAGGCGAAGATGCTGCTAAATGTTTAAGATATGTGGTATGTATCACAAGATAAATATTTAAGCAAGTAGATTAGCAAAGTGAATTATCAAATAGTTGTCTGTGTATATGTATGTATGTGGATGGTGAAACAAAAACACTCATGTCTGCAACCACATTTCTATCTCCCATGACTTAATCCAGAAATGTACCTGCATGTGAGACTTTAGAACTGGTACACTTCTCTACCTGGTTTGTTGTGTTTACTAATGTATATTTTTCTAAATATACAGATATTTCAATCTAAAAGTTCTATATTTATCTGTAATTTCTATGTTTTAAACAGTGCATGGAGGTGCTGTAAAATTCTGTACATATAGAGAGACTTATAGAAGAAACACTGTTGTTGCCCTCTGTATGAAAAGCTATACATAAAACTGCAGTCAATATGCCAATACCCATAAGTTATTTCTTTAAATGCACCAAAAATTCCTCAAGCTCTACACCAGTCTCAACCTTAATGTAAATACTGTTTGGTGCATTTATACCCACGTGATTACCTTGCTGTCTCTGTTAGACCTGCAGGTCTACTTTAGGTTCTAAGTCATGTGACAACATGCAGTCAATTAAAGTTTGGTATAATATGTCATCTTGCATAGACTTACAAAGGGCTTTAATAATGTAAGCATAAAATGGAGGTAAAATTGGAGCAGTATCACGTACTGACACAGGCAAGGGAAATAAGCCTTACACCTGGTTTGGTACTCTCAGGCTGCAGAGTTCTCAGATCAGTGCAGCTCTGTGTCTCAGTCATACAAAAGCTGCAGGATAGCAGATTGACTCTTTCTGAATCTGTGTTTGTATTATCTGTCACATCCTTGGTAGATTCAAATGGAACTTTTTTTTTCCTTATCTTCTGTCCTAACTCATTGTGTCCTCTCAAATCCTACCTGAGTGATTTGCTGTACAAACTGCCGGCAGCTCAGCGTTCAGGAAGTGTTCCATGGTTTGTTTGTATGGTTGTTTTTTTTTTAAGACTGATTCAGATAATGAACAGGACGTTTTCTTTTAACTTTTAAAGACAGAAAATTCCAGGCTAGGGCCCCTTTGAAGCCAAGTTTGCCTCTCTGCTGTGTTTAAGAAAGGACCAGTGGAGAAGGACAAGTAGACACAACTCTGGAAATCAGGAGAGCTGGGTTATGTTTTTACACAAGCCATTACTGTGAACATGATCCAACCCGAACTTCTCTCCCTATTCCTTGGCTTCCCATCTAGTCTTCATCTATCTTCATCTTTCAGACTGAACTTGGAGGCAGATGCCAATTCTCAAAACATGTACAGTGCCTGCTGCAGTAGTTGCCCAGTCACTTTTTGTGCCTGTAGGTACAGTTTTAACACTAATTACAGGTGGAAGTCTGTCACATCTATCATGCTAATATGAGTATTTGCTTCATGCAGGGTTTCTTGCCTCACCCAAATTCTGAAGGGTTAAAGCATTGTGTTGTTATTGCCAAGTTTAACAATGCTTCTTCTGCAAAAGTGTTCAGAGATTGATTTATCCGCGTTTAGATAGTGGTCACTGGATACAAGAGACTTCTAGTCTGCCAGACCTCTTGCCTTAAATATCCCTGTAGTTCTTACAGAAAACCTCTCCTGGGCCATTAACAAGATTTCTTCAGTGAAAGGGACTTTGATTTCTCTGCTGGACTGTCGTGCTTGAAGGTGGAGAGGTTCTGGCCCTGGTTTCTTTGTTTTTTCCCCCACCCTTTTTGGTTTTCGCATCTTTAACAATCTTTCTAATGTGAACTGTCTGGGATTCTCACCTTGCCTCCTTCAGAAGACACAGTGGTCAACATAATCATTGGTACTTAAGAACAGTGGAACTTGCTGTTGGCAGTCCTGTACAGGATGCAAAAGAAAAAATCCTATTGCATTAAAAAAAAATGTAAAATTAACAAATTTTCAGAGGCAGCTTTGGCTTCCAAATAGTATTAGTGTACTTGCACACTGATTTATAGATCTGTAGAAATAGATATAGATAAATAGAACTTAGGATTAATACACTGCAAGTATTTAAAACAGTATTTGCTAACTTGAATTCGCCATTTTGGACCACAGTGGGATACTGTTCCACAAACTGCCACCATAAACTGCTGAATTCTTTGTTCATTTACTGGTACTGGAGCTGGAATTTACCTGCTTACATAAAAATGCCAGCTTGGTAAAGGCTGTGCAGGAGTTTTACCTCCAAACAGATTTTTTTTTCTTCCTTTTTTAAAGGAGAGTTTCAGCAATATTTATATTTTATAGGATACAGTACATTTAAAGTAAGTGTGAATTTTGTTCTCAATATTCTTAACCTTTTCTCATAGTAGTCGGGTATGGATTTTCTTTCACTGCTCATGCAGAGGTTGGATGGGCAATAGGACCAGCCTATAATGATAATAGGGTTGAAGTAGTCCTGGAACCATTTTCTCCCATTTATTCATTAGCTCCATGGTAATGCATGTCCCTACAAGTTCGGCTGTCTTCACAGCTGATGCAAGTCAGCACTCCATGGGTAGGCAGCACTCACCTGGAGTATGGTAGACCTCTTCCTACAGCCCCAGTGACTTGTCAGTCATTTGACATCTTGTATGATGTGCAGAGCAGCATTAATGACACCGCTTTGTACAGTTCTGGGAGTGGCAGCAAAATCATTGGCTGCAAAATTCTTGTGGGTTGTTTTTCTTCTGGTTTTTTTTTTGGTTTTTTTTTTGACCAATTTGTGTTGGTTCCTCTTGTGCAATTACTTATGGAGAGAGCTGCAGAAAGGGATTTCTCCCCCACTGAAAAGGCATGTTGAGCTTTCCCTGGCCCTGACTCCTGCAGCATGCATCTCCTGTATGTAACACTTGAGTACTCCGAAGTAAGGAGGAACCTCTTCCTTAGGTTTTAAAGCAGAAATTTTGGCACCCTCTCACCCCAAGCTGGGCTAAGAACTATCAAACCTTGTTTAAGTGTTTTGATTTAAATATGTGTGTTAAAAGTGTCAGTGTACATCTCTTTCCCTTGCTTATTCTCATATCTGTTTTTCCCTCGTGGAAGCTTTGAAGAATTATTTTTTTTCCTTCTACAGAATATTAAACTAAACTGGATTTAAAACTTGTAAATGTTGAAGAACTGCTCTCCTGTAAAGAAACACTTTCTATTAGCTGAAAATATCCTACAAAACAATCTTAACTATTAAATAAACTTTCTAGTGCAAAACTGAAGCTGACTTAGTAGCAGCTAACTGTTGTTTGAATACAGTGCTTTAGAGCAGGCCTAGGAGGTGGGACTCAATAACAGGCTGACTTTCTATTGATCAGCTACCACATAGGACATTTTTAAATTGTAACTTGTTTTCTAAAACCCCCATTTGTCTTTTTCACAGCTAATATTTTCACAGTAAACACAGCCAAGCGTAAAAACATTAATGTACAAATTGTGAAATTCTCTTAATTCCCAACAAAATATTTTTGTATATAATAAAGATTTAATATTGAAAAACTACACTCTTTTTTGTTGGATTTTTTTTTGTCTTTTCTGTGATTTGTAGCTAACTAAGAGATGCTATCCATAGGCTGTGAAGGCTTACCAGGAAGAAAAGGCAAGCAGTGCTGTGGAATTCCCCTGCCCTCCTTCCAGATTGAAGGGCTGTGCTCCTGTGCTAAGCTCCGGGACTCAGCTACAGCTTGGAGGGTGGGAAATGAATGGCATTCAACATTTGAAACTAATTTCAAGGGGGTGAAAACAGGATGGAGATTCTCTTGTGAAAGAAAGGTGTTGGTCACAGTTCAGAAATGTGACTTTTTGGCTTTTGAATGCACCCATTCCAGATCCTATGCAGAGCACTCTGGGCCTCTTCAACCATCCTATAAATACCACTGCTAAAGCGGGGCTGCTTACTTTCTAATCACTACCCTATTAAGGGTGTCAGTCTCCTATGTTCACATTGTAATTCACCAGCATACATAAAGCTCTGGCAGCTGAGGCCTGCAGCACAAGGTGAGCACTCATTACTCGTTACATCAAGGCTGAGGCTGCTGGAGACAAAAATAAAAAATAAATCAAAGAGACTGAAAAGCAACTGCTGACCTCACCTTCCCTTGTCCCGATGTGATTCTGAAATGCAAAGCTGAGGGGTCTTCCCCCTTCTGTAGAAGGCAACTGTATCAGGAAGCAACAAGGGAGAGACAGCTGAGAGTGAAATGAAGCGCCAGCCTCTCCTGAAGGACCCCAGTGCCCTCTTACCACCTCTGTTTTCTAGGGAAGACCCCAGCTAACCTTGAAGGAGCGCTTTCTGTACGAGGCCAGCCTGTCACAAGCAATCACTGCTTCAGCCAGGATGCACTGAGTAGAATCTGAATTCATTTGGATCAGTGCAGCCAGGGTCCCTGAAGAGGCTCTCCTCATTTAGCTTAGGGAAGGGCAGAACAAAACTTAGATGGAGAGAGACTCATTGTTGCTGCTGCCTCTTTGGATTTATGTATCCCCAGCCTGAGCTATTTTGAATGTTCACGTGCAGAAAGATGCTACTTTCAGAAGGACAGAGAGCACATAAAAGGGCAGACCCACGCCTGGTGGCTGCCCTGTGCAACCACTGCCTTTTTTTTGTAACAGTTTCTATAGAATACCTGGGGGTCTTTTTCCTATGCAAACAAATCCCCTCATACATGTTCAGTACAGCCCACCAACCCTGAAAGCAGTTAAGTGCAGCACATACAAGGCTTACAATAAGAGTAAAATCAGGGTACGTGGACAGCAGCACTACGTGGAGTCACACGCATCTTCTTGCTGTCTGCACGCACCAACTTTCAAAGCCAAGAAAAGGACTGGAATCAGAAAAAGGATGACTGGAAATCACGCAAATTGACTTTTAAAATTATTCTACTGTCCTGACATCCATGACATTAAATACAAAATTCTGATAAAACAATTACAGAGGCAACTTGCTTACGAGCAGTTGGCAAAAGCAAACCTTCCCATGTACAGACACACAACTCACACAAGCAGGGTAAGGTGCTCTCAGGGCATTTCCGTACGCACCAGTGCAGCGTTGGGCCAAAACCATCAGCTTCACTTCACACTCACATTACAAATGAGACACTGAAACACCACCACCTCAGTCTGAGCACCTCTCCTTCCAGGTGCCTAACTGTCAACCATCCCTCAGTGCTGGCTAAGAGCACCAAGAGCCTGCTTCATTGGAACAGCTTCCTGCATTTACAGTGATCTCTCCTGCACTTCTGTCCCATTTCCATGATCACAGAAAATTATGGTCAAAAAAAGGCAGAACAGTTCAAAGCACAAAGTGCTTTACATTAACTGTACTATAAAGCTCTGCTGTTAATGAAAGACACAAGCAAAACACTGACAGTGTCACATGGGTAAAATGATTGCTTTGTGGAGTGCAGCAAGGACTTCTGCTATGCACATACCAGAAGGCATCACCGTATCTCAAAGAGAAAGTTCAAAATACAATGTAAGCAGCTGAAACTTGCTAAGCTTAGTAAAAACTTATTGGAAAAGAGGTAGAAATCCCTAAGGTGGTCTCAGTTTTGGAAAAAAAAAAAAAAAAAAAAAAAGAGTTCATTATTTCCTGCAGTGTGCAGCTCACATCCATAAAGCCAAACTACACTTAATGAAGAAAAACCTAATGAAGTGCCCTCCACTTCACATCCTCCAGAGTGAAGGTATTCTGCATGTCAGGTCTTGAGTGAGCAAAGCACGTACTGCATTGCACAATGCTACATTTCCACAGCCTTTTTGCTCGCTTGCTTACAAAAAGCAGTTTGTACTTTGCAGTTTTCTCCCACGCATATTAATGCAAGCAATCAGGCTTCCACTGCTCTGCAGTTCTGACAACTATCAGAACAGCTATGTTCAATTTCTCTTCCAGGCTCATCTTTTTTTTCCTTCTTCCCCTGCATCCCTTATTTACTTATTTATGTATTTTCCACTGCAGACAAACCTTAGTGGAGCTGCAGAGCAGCAGTGTGCTCACTCCTTGCCTGTGCTGCCCTGTGACACCTGCCTTCAGTGCTCTGAGAACTCAACCCCAGGGCTCTCACATGCTCACAAGCATCAGCGCTACACTGCAAAGCTACACAAGGAAGAACAGGGAGGGCAGTAAGTGCTCAGAAAAGCTCCTCTACAGCCCCACTCAAACTGTGAAGCCCGCAAAGCGCAACATAAAGAACAAGTGGGAAGAATCTGGGTTCTCTCATAGTTACAGCTTTTACAGAAGACTCTGTCTTCTCCAAATTAATGTTCGTTGAAGCAAAAAGCCTTTGCACGACATCAAATCTTCCTGTGTCAGTGAGAGTTGCCACCAAAGGACTGCTCAGTGCCAAAGTGCCATCAGCTGAAGCGATGTAAGGCTGTATTTATGAGAGAGAGAAAAAGAGAAACAAAGACATTAAAAAGGCCTTTCAAGCAGTGCTGTTTGGTGTCACACAGCTTAGTTCTTTCTTACAAAGCCACTGGAGAGCTTACAAGGCAGTGTAAAAGGGAAAGATTCCCTGTTCCATCAGCCTTGACAAGTACAACGTACTCATCCCCAACCAAAGCTCACCTCCCACAGTTATGTTTCAAATACTCCATTGATTTATGATGGCCCCCAGCCTGGTACCACCCACGCCCTGGTTCACCCTTGTGATGCTGGGGATACCAGCACCCCCAGGACAGACCTGGGATTTACAGTACCAAGGAAACCCAAATGCCAACAATTTAAGTGTCCTGATGCAGGCACCAAAACCTGAAGCAGTTTTAAGGGATTCCCAAATAACCCTCCAGATTCCAACCATGATGAAGTAGGTGACTCACTACTGCCTAGAAAGACAGTTTTGACTTACTATGGCAAAGAGCTGCTCCACAGATTACAATTAACCCTCTTACTCTGAAAAACTCCAGCATTCATCTTCTCTCTACACATCTAAAGGGTTCTACTGTAATTTTTGTCACTGACCTTAAGAAATTCAGAGCCAATGTCAACCCTGTGCCTTCTTTTAAATAGTTTTAATGAATGGCCTCTGAGATTTCAAACTTCAGAATCTGCCAACGCCCAAGCAACACTGGTATCAAAGCAGAGTTTCTGTTCCCCAAGGGCAGGTGATTATCGCTAGTGAGATTTTTAAATGGGCTATGGAGACTACTAGTAAATTAAAACTCAAGTTAAAATTACTATTTTTTTTTGCTCTCAGCTCACAGAGTCACCAAAATACAGAAATGCTTCAGAAATGAGGTACCCATGTGCAGTAAATTACCCACACTGTTTGCCACTGTCAGGCTCTGACCCTGTCTAAGCAATGCTTCAAGCCGAAATTCACACTGGAGCCTGACATCTGCTTTCTTGGGTGGGAACACAGTGAGCCATGGAACGCAGCCATTACTGCTGCTGGTGCCCGCATGCTACACGGGCACGCTCTGATTACTCACCAAGCAACACAACGCCGGAACAACCTGTAGATCAGAGCAGGCACGCAGCAGGACAAGAGTGTAATCAGACAGCTCTGTGAAGGAGACATTAATAGGGAAAGATTGTTTCCAGTGAGCAGCCTACAAGGCTGGCTGCTGGAGCTCTGCCATTGGGCTCTCCTGCTGAGCAGCAACAGCAGGCTGCATTTCTGAGGCCCACGCAGGTACAGAGCCCTGGGAAACAGGAACAAAGAGATTCTACACCAAGGAGAGCTGTGACAAAGTGCTCTGCTGGACACAGGGAAGAGGCTGATCCAGACCTTTCCGGTTTGCTTCCTAGACTGTAGAATCAAAGGGGGTGGGCAGTGGGTGGAAGCAAACCCTGCCCTTGACAGAAAGGTAGCGGTGGGAAGGATCTCCTCCCTGGCATTTTCTTCCTCTCCCCAGGTATTTCCCCAGTGTTTCTGGGAGCCTGCAGGCAGGCATATGATTTAGGCTCTGAATGAAACAAGAACCTCTGTTCTCAAAACCTGTTGTAGATGCTGACCTCAGCCAAAACACGATTTGAGAGGAATGACATAGCTTACTCTGCCCTGGGGAGATGGACTCAATGGTCCCTGTGGTGCCCTTCAACTTCGTAACTGAAATCCGTAAGAGAAGCAACAGGCATAAAACAGCTTTGGATCTTAATCCAGCTGCAGTTATGCCTGGACACGAGAAGCAGACGTCATGTCCAAAGCCAAGTGATAATTCAGCATGCTCAATTAGCTGCACTCTGCTGTTAATAGCATCTGACAAGCATTACCACACCAGTGGCTGTTTTCTATCTCTTTTCCCTATCTACAAATTAGTTAAGCTTTCCTATCTGTGTACCATTCATTCATGGATGCAAACTGATACTCTGCTGCACGGCGTCACATCTAGAAATGCTGCACTGTACCAATTCTAGCTCATATTGCACTGGATTCCTTTGTTAACCTTAATGTCAGGTAAGCCTTTATGTTTGACAGAGAGGAGAAAAAGCCAGGAAAGAAACTATCTTGGATTCTGCAGGTGACCTGTAATTAACACTGGTGTCAAATAAATGCCATCCTCACCACCTAGTTGGCATTTATATTTAATCTCCTTTTTCAGTGGCTGCAGAATAACTCTTAATTGCAGTGTCTCCATGTTAAATTCATTTTTGCTAAATATAGTTTGGCCCTCAACTGTTACAGAGAAGACACCACCTCATTTGTAATTCTCAGCATTTGGGCAGGAAGAACTCTGGCATGCAGCAAGAACAGAAATTAGCTTCTCAAAAGGGAAATGCCCACATTCAGCAGAAACTAGAGTAATCTTGAGGGAATGTGTACTTTACAAGTAAAATCTGCCAGAGATCAAGGGCTGAATTTAATTCACAGCTAGGAATGCCTGGCATCATACAGATCCCAGAAACAGAACAGAACCAATTACATTTGCTAAGCTCATCAACTGCTCGAAAAGAGCCACATTTTGTGCAGAGGGACTTTCTAGAAGGGATGGAACAAAAAGGCTCTCTTCTTCATTCACAACATACCAGAGATAGCACTGATGAGGAGGTGAACAGCTGAGAGCAGTTCTTCATCTTGAAGCTGATAATTCTGCAACAATAGCTCATCCTGTACACTGCACCCCACCAGCTGGAGGAAGTCAGCCAGGTCCTGCTGCTGTGCAGGTTTTAACTCCTTCAGGTCTGGCTTGTCTCCTGCACACAGAGCATCTAACTGGAAGCCAAAGAAAAAAACACAACTTCTTGAGAAGCTCCAGGGAGACCTCATTATGGCCTTACAAATTTGAAAGGAGAGTACAAACAGGAGGGAGAATGACTGTTTACAAGGGCTGATAGCGACAGGACAAGGGGAAATGGTTTTAAACCGAGACAGGGGAGGTTTAGGTTAGATATTAGGAGGAAGTTTTTGACACAGAGGGTGGTGATGCACTGGAACAGGTTGCCCAGGGAGGCTGTGGATGCCCCATCCCTGGAGGCATTCAAGGCCAGGCTGGATGTGGCTCTGGGCAGCCTGGTCTGGTGGTTGGTGACCCTGCACATAGCAGGGGTTTGAAACTGGATGAGCATTGTGGTCCTTTTCAGGCCATTCTATGATTCCATGAAAAGAGAAAAGTTTGAGTGCAAGATAACGCTTGCTCTGTTCTGAAATTACTTTTAGGAAGCAAAGAAAAGTTTCTTTATCTTACCACATCTTCCAGGGCAGTTAATGTTTCTTCATGCAGCAGGAGTTCGCACAGACTTTTATATAAAGCTCTTTGCTTGTCTTCTGGCAGCTTCACAAAGGGTTGGAACTGAGCCTTCAGCTGTGACAGACCTTTCCCAAAAAAGCAGTAAAAAGTAGAACTAAGTACTGCTACACCAGTGCCAGTAAAAACAGTTAATGTTTTTGCTATGCATTTCATAAGCTAGTTTATCACCGCATCTTGCCACCCTGATTTCAATCAGCGCAAGTTATAATGAAAGGCTGGAACACATCTGAATATATTTCCCTAATTAGCCAACAGAATGGCCATGAAAATTCTGAGGAAAAAAATACTGCTGCTAAGGATTAACATTCCATACGTTCTGTATTTTGGAAGTCAGTATTTTAATATTAACTGAATTAACCATACATTAAGTGTACAGCCTGGATGTTCATCTCTAGACAATGTCCATTCTAAGGCAGAATGCAGCTCATAACCTCACTTTTTGAACTACGGGTTAATGCCAATTACCAGCCAATGCTCTGAGTCCACACACAGAATTGGAGGCTTCTGCTGTGCTCAGTTGTAAGCATCCTTCTATTTCAACAGAGGGATCCAAGCATTACACACCTTCAGTTCCCAGAATGACCAGTTATGCTTCATGACAAAAATATTTTCTTGATTGAAATACTGAATTCATTACAGTTCATAAACAGAAATGCAAGAGAGTTCAGTGCTTTTCTTTTCCACCATTCAGTTACAACTCTACAACAAAACATCATACGATTGTATCAAAATTGACCACTTAGGTAAAACAAAAGAAGTTTTCAAGTCAACAGTGTCAACTGGAAGACTGGAATGTGCTCTTTCACATTCCAAAAAATATGGGCATGAAAGCATTCTTAACCTTGTTTAAAGAAGCAAAGAGACTTTGCTTGATGTCTCTCCAGTAAGATGCCTTTTATATCTGAAAATTTCTTTATTAAAAAAAAAGACAAAACAGCTCAGCCACAGGCAGATTTTTTTTGCATCTGATGCAATACGATGTACTTGGACCTACAGACCCCTTGTCTATCCAAATAACAGCGTAAGAAACCTGCTTTAAATTGCGCTGGTAGAAATATTTTCTTCTCCATTTTTTACCTAATTCAGTTAATTAATTAAAGTCTCCAAGTCTTCAAAGAAAGGCAAGAAGATATGTTAAGCTAAAACAAACTGCAACAGTGGCATACTATTTTTTCACAATTTTTTTTTCCCCAAAACACACAGAGATAGTTATTCCTTTATGACAACTCAATAGTAAGTAATAAGAGAACTGTCAGGACAACAGACACCCATTTTGGTAGAAGTCAGTCTGTAGAAAAGTCACGAACAAAGGGTGAAATTCAGAGATAACAAAAGTAATACTCAGCACCAGAAACAGCTGTAAGAGCTCAACCCAGAACTGATGAAAAGCAAAGTGTGTTCAGAGGCCTCGATTTGTTACCTCTTTTTCCATTCCTGCACTAACCTCACCCCTCCTGCACCCCTACAAAAAGCACGTTGTGCCTGGCACATTACATCCATTCACAAACTTCCACTTGTAGCATATTTTAATTTCACTAGCCTTAGTTGTTATGAAACATTCCTTGTAAGCTTGTCAGAAAATAATCACAGAATCACAGATTGCCAGGGTTGGAAGGGACCTCAAGGATCATGAATCTCCAAACCCCTGCCACATGCAGGGCCACCAACCTCCACATTTAATGCTAGACCAGGCTGCCCAGGGCCCCATCCAACCTGGCCTTGAACACCTCCAGAGACATGGCATCCACAACCTCTCTGGGCAGCCTGTTCCAGCACCTCACCAATCTCATAGTAAAGAACTTCCCCCTGACATCCAACCTAAATCTTACCCCCCTCAGCTTAAAACCATTTCTCCTTGTCCTGCTGTTATCTACCATTTCAAAGAGATGGCTCCCCTCCTGTTTGTAGGCTCCCTTTAGGTCCTGGAAAGAGAATAACTAAAGGAGGAGTGGATGCCTTGGTAATTTTTGAGACTTTAATTGAATATTCAGAGTTTTTTCCAGATCATGAACAAATATTTTCAGTGAACTTTTCTGTATGAAAGCACAAATTATCACTGATTTCATAGAGGTTATGCACAATATAACAGAACTGACATAAATACAATCTTAAAATAGAGGGTTTTATGGCAAAGGGATTCAGTTTGTTGCCAGGGACCAGTTCCCTGCATGTCCCCATTACAGAAGTCAGTCTTTTTGTTCTTCTAACATCATTTCTTATGTACTATGCTACCAGATTATTTCCTTCTATCACACTGCTTAACTCCCTGCAATGTAATCACGTAAAACATTTCTGGTAATACCTTCTTTCAACACACTTAAAGAAGCGTGGCTGGGAATGGGGCTGTCAGCCCCAGAGCGCATCCCATTATCAACAGCATCTGGGTGATACAGGAACGAAGTGTCTCTGAACAGCACTGAGTGGGGTGACGTCGAACCTTCTGAGCTTTCTCTTTCAAAACCTCCTTGCTGTTCATCTAGCAGACAGAATTCTGAAATCAGAAATACAATTTAAAAAAATGTCACAAAACACACAAGCAATAACTGAACGAGATGCTAGCTTACATCATCAAGTGTTCTCACACAATTTCTCCACACATCATCTCTTCTAAATGGAGATAATGCCAGTGGTTGCTTGCTGTGTGCTATTACTGCAGCCCTAAAGCACCAGCAAAGGCCCTGTGCTGCAGCCGTCAGCCACAAAATGCGGCATCAGTTCCCACGAATTAAAGTACTGGAGCCAGCAAGTAACATGAAAACTTCTCATACACACTGTGAACCCAAGTGCTGCGTGCAGATGCAGATTGGAATTGTTTGTGATTTCTGTCAATAAGAGATGCACTAGAATACCGTCTACAGAATCCACTCACAATGGAGGCACATGAAAGCACTTCCTGGGATTTAAAACAAGCTCTCAGAGCATCCCTTGCGGAACTTCTGGTCTGGCATTGACAGACACCTCCTTCTGAGTCAAGATACAGATCCACACTCGAGTCTCCAGGCAGGTGAAAATTCATTGGCTCTTCTGGGTCTCTGAAGGACTTCTAGCCACGCTCACTAACCCTTCAATACACTGTCTCTTTTGCAAGAAGATGGAGAAAATAACATACTCTTGGTCTATTCCCCTTTCTGATGCATCTTCATAACATTCTCTTGGGATTCCAAGCACTGCTCTACCTCACCCAAGCAAGACTGCCTATCTCTTACTACTAGACTGCTCCTCACTGCCCCAGCTTTGTGAAGCTGTGGGACTCCTGAAAGGAAGGAGCCTTTGTAGAAGTTTTGCTGAGAAATTTACAGCATCATGTAAATTCTGTGCTCACGTGTCAGACTCTCTGAGTCTTTGGGGCATGACACAATCAAAGCTCTATGCATTATTTTATAATTTTTGTAGAGGGTTAAATGTAAGATTTTAAACCATAGCCCTGGCACTCCAAAGCAGGCCTAAGGAGAACACAGGCAGGTTAGCAAGAGAAAGTCAATTTTGAAGTAGTACCTGACAGCAAAGGGAAAAATGTAACTAATCAAGCACATGCTCACATGTACCGGGCACAGAACCTAAATATAACCTTCCCACAGTTGTAACAGCCTGTCTCACCAAATTAAGGACATTGAAAGCAGATGAGAAAGCACGGAGAGCACTCCATCAGCAAAAAGCTTTTTCAAAGGGAGAGCAGACAAAGAAATCTCTGCCGTGGAAAATGAAAGAGACCTTTATGCCTGCATAACCCTTCACAGAGAAGAGCAAGCTACAGAGGAGCAGAAAGTGATTAACCCAAATTAAAGAACTTCCCAAAGCAACAAGACTCAGGACGGTGGCAAAGGCATCACAAGGCCAACATGCTCGTGTAACTTTCATTGATGATGACAAGGCTTTCACATGAACCCTGAAGGAGGAGATAGGGCTAATAAACTACCTGCACTGAAAAAAGAGGAAGACAGTAAAAGAAATAACACGCAGTATCGTGCAAAGTGCGCATCTGCTGTAAAATCTTGTAACAGGACTGTTTTGCTTTGTATTAACAAGACTGTTAATTAATTTTATAACCTATACATTTTATCAAAGAAGGAAAAAGACATGAAAGAAAAGAATACATCTAATACTGTGATATTTTTTTCTGTTGGATTCTATCGCAGACCTCGCTGACAAATCTCCACTGGCAGTTAGATCTTGGCAAAAACATCACCAAAAAATGTAAGAAATACAAAGATGACCAATAAAAATGATGCACTGATGATGCACTGAGATGCTGTAAAGATTAGGACAGTTTAATTCCCAGGCATGTCGTAAGAACATCACAAATAAACAGCAATGAAGAGAAAAATGCTGGCCAGCCAGGTGCCACAGCATGTTTTGAGAAGAGAGAACAAGAGGGCTTGTGGTAAAACGAAGAGAGAGAGAACTGAGCAGCATTTAATGGAAACAGCTATTAGCTCAAGGAGAAAATTAGCCTGCAGAAATCAAATGCACATGGAATGAGTGTAGGAAAACATTGTGGTAAAGAAATTGGAAAGGGATCAGACTTTTTTTTTTCCTTTTTATGCTCAAAAACGTCCTGTCACATTAGCCAGGGCATTTTAAAGAAAGTTTACACACCAGTCTTCCATAGCAAATAACTCCAAAGCTGTCTGTCAGTGGCAAAGAAAAAGGAACAAGGATAGGTGCACCTTATTCCACAACTACCTGTGAAGAAAACCCCATTATGTTACACCTGCTATTGGCCACTTCCAATCCCATGAGAAAGGACCGCATCAGTCCCCAGCCTTAACTTCAAAGACAACTGTTATCTCCATAAACAGACACTGACCACTGCTCAGACATTAAGAAGCTGAAGGCTGAGCTCCACCATACTTACTCTTGCTAGAAACCCCCACTTCTGATGTCAGTTCCTCCACTTAACCTTTTCAATGACACAGTACTAATTGAAAAAAGTAAGATGGACATCGTTTGAGAGAAAACATGAAACAAGCTGTGATGTTTCTGAGGCTTGAGATATAATGCTCAATGTGAGACAAAACGGAAAAAAAACAGAAGAAAAAAAAGCAGAGAATTACAGATCATTAACAACACTCACATATTAATTATCAGCTAGAAAGATAAGATTTTCCATCTTGAAATCATGTAAGCAGGCTATCAGCTGTAACTTCATGGTTGTACATCAGCTATACATCCATGCTATCACACAATAGCTTTAATTACACCTGATTTCAGTGAATTAGAGTTCTGTTATGACCATGAAGTCAATGCCCTCTAGTGTATCTCTGTGTTCACTGTACAGCAGAGCAATTCCACATTTTTTTTTTACAGTTATGTGGTACTTACACATATTCCTGAACCTACTTGCTTTCTTAATATCAAATTCATCTGAAGGAGAATGATGTCTAGACTATTACGTGCATTTCTTATCCAAATAAAGTGCACCCTAGATTCAAATCTCTCAACTGTACCTCATGTTTCTTTCTACACCACCACTGTCTAACTTCCAGTCCTACTCAGCTCGCCCGACTCCTCTCCTTTTTGCATAACATCCCCTGAAACCTCCTTTAAGTCAGGGAGTTTAACTGAGGACAAGCAAGAAAGAAAAATCCAGCTGATAGCACAGAGCAGAGTTACCACCTCATCTACTCACCAAACCAATTAAAAAATACACTTAAAATAAGGAACGCACAACCAAAAGAGATAGCAAGAAAATTTCTGCAACCATTCAGTGAACAATGTATATACACAAGTGTAAACTAGACAAAAAAAAAGTCTGAATTCTAGTAGTAGATTTTATGAGCAATTCTTCTGTTAGTATGACTGCTGTCTACACATTCCTGGTTGACTCTACATTTAGATCAAACCTGGAAGGATTTCCAGGTGCCTTTGCAGCTCTTGAGGTTCCTTGCTTCTGGGCTGCACTAGCAAGAGTGTAGCTAGAGGACTGATCAAAGTGACTCTTCATTTGGCATTTGAGCAACTTCATTTAGAGTGCTGTGTCCAGTACAGGAAAGACATTTGTATGCATACAGAAGTAAGTATATTAGGTTGTAGATGCCCCACCCCTGAAGGCATTCAAAGCCAGGCTGGATGTGGCTCTGGGCAGCCTGGTCTAGTAGCCAGCAACCCTGCACACAGCATGATCGTTGCGGTCCTTTTCAACCCAGGCCGTTCTATGATTCTATGATTAAGTGTAGCAATGCCATCAAGACTGCTGGGAGCTGGAGAACATCATGGATAAGAGGCTGAGAGACTGGATTTGTTCAGCCCCAAGAAAATACAGATAAGGGATGACCTTTCTGCTACCTACAGCAAACAAAGACCGACTATTCCATATGATGACAGGACAAAGATGCAAGAGAGAGAAATTCAACAAATTCTTGTTAGATATTAAGGGGAAATAGGAAGTTCATCCTGATGGTGGTCAGATATGAGAAGAGGCCACTCAGAGGGGCTATAGAATCTCTCTCTGGAGATATTCCAAACTCAAATAGACAAGGACACAAACAATCTGATCTAATACTGAACTTGGATCCTTTAAAGCTGGCCCTACATTGGGGCTGCACTGCCTGTGGTTCCCTGAAACCTAAATTACTTGATGAGCCTGCAATTTAGGTAAACAAACAAAAGAGCATTAGCAGATCAGAAGTGCTGCATTTCAAAGTGGAAGTAACTACCACGGCAGTGGAAACTATATAATATCATCACCTTTGATTACAGGGGAATGCAAAAACCACTGCTCAACAGTTTTTTTTCCCCACAACTCAATGGTGCATCACAGAAAACAAGCTTTTACTTACCAAACTGCCCATCACACTTTATAAACAGTTCAATTACACCATAGGCAATAGTGGTTGCAGGAGGAATCTCGAGAATCACGCTGGAATCCTTCATCATACTTCCACTGTCACTCACTGAAACCTACAAAACATTAATTGATTATTCCATTCAGCTGTCGTGCAGCTTAAACACAAAAATGAGTACAGAAAATAAACAGAGAAAGGACATGCTTCATGATGTCTAACCCACAGCACACGTCTGACATCTGAAAAAAAAACAAAAACAAAATGAGCAGCAAGGTAGGAGCACCAAAGTGCCAAGTGCAGGTCTCAAACTTTGCCATTCTGTTCAAAGTTGAGTCCTGGGTGCAGCTTTTGCCATGTGAAGCTCTGTCACCAGAACTGGCATTCTCTTTGGTGTCCTGTCCTACCCTCTCCTATCCTGATATCCCTTTGGCCAACTGGTAAGTGGTGCCAGGAAGATGGCACTTGTGCAGAGTTGCTGAAATGCATTTCCCAAGTGTCTGCCACTCAAGACTCTGTACACAGAAGTGATTTGTCGTATCTTGTGACTTTGGCAATTTCTTCTCAATTCACAATGTCCTCACTACGCAATTAATCTCTACTCCCATGATCAAAAATACAGTAGATTCCCAAGAAATATTATTAAACTTGCTAACACTGCAAGCATTTCTGATATATCATTCCTTTGCTGTTCAAATGAATTTGCTTCAGTAATGCTTTCTGCTCTTCAACTTTCACTGAATTGTTGGTTTACGTTTTGCTGTAGACAGGATTCTACAGAGAAATCATAAGGTTGTAACATTGATGGAAATGCCATTTCCACACTAAGAGATGACATCTTTTGCCAGTGAGGCAATGAGGAATACATTTTACATTTGTAAAGTTTCACAGCTAAGTAATGTAGTGAGTTCTTGCCATTGACAGAGTTTAAAACGTTACAGAAAAATACTCTGAAATTTATTTGGCACAGAGAAATCAATTGCAACTCAGATAATCTGCAGATTTAATGAGACAAACGTTCTATTCCTTACAGATTTGATACATTTTACCTGCACTATCTTCGTACTGCATCCCAGCAGACCGCTGACTTTTTCTTCTGTCTGGATATGTTCAGATATTGTACACCTCTGTGTTGTTATTATCTTCTCCCTCAAGATGCACAGTACTTCACGCTTTCGTTCTATTACTTGTTGCAGTAAACTACTATTTAAATTTATCATTCTGAAACAAAAAAAGACACTATTAACAACAAATACCAGAATGGAGAAAACATGTTCTTTTGTTTCAAGAAGCTTTTATGAAAAAATAACAATGGTTTCTGTTTGAGCAGTCTGCACAAAATAATTATGTCCTCTTTTGTTATTTGTAGCAGCAAGGCTGTAAATGTCAGTACTGTGCAGCAAGCCCCAATATACATATTGAATTCCTGACCTCCTCCTCCAAAGAAAAATGTCATCTGGCTACCTTCTAAGCAATAATCTGATTAAGATATGTCCGTTATGTTATACTTTTGCAAAATACCCACCAGAAAGGTCCTCACATGAGATGAAGTATTTTCTACGAGCAGAGAACTCCAGCAAGACATCTGGAAGGTCAGAAGATTGCTATCCCTTGCTGAAGTCTTTTTTTTCTCTATTTTACTGAAGTGGCTATTCATGAGGCTACATGGCAATTCCCCAAAAATATGACAGAAAGACTCCACTTTATTTAAATCAAGATATCTCCACTTTTAATTAAAAAGTTTTAGATTTATTACATTCTGGAGTTTGGGATTTACGTGGTCCATAAAAGCCTGAAGTCAGCTTGGCTCTTTATTAAATTAAAAATAGCCTGAGGCAATTTTTGATCTTTGGAGAGTTACATGCTTATATGAAAGTTCAATCAGTTGGAATGAACTGTCTGGAAACCTTAAAGTTGATTGTTTAAACACAGGAAAGAAAATACCTCTGAAGCAATGCAGCAGCCACTAGAAAAGTACCCCCAAACATTCCTCAGATTATTAATAGAACTTCCTTTCTTTTAGTGAAAAGCCATGCTTTATGCTTGGAATGCAATGAATCTTTGGATTAAGAGAAATGGAAGAACTGTCACGCAATCACAAACACTGCCATTCTTAGAAGCGTCTGCCAAACCGCAGCTATTAATTACACTGTATCTCGCAGAACTCCACCAAGCCTATCACATACTTCACAATAATTATTTATGACTCTGAAGAGGTGTGCTAGGCATCCTGAACACATAAATTAAGGTAGAGAGAGCTTGCAATTTTAATATATGACCTAAGAAGCCACAGGTGAAGAAAAATAATGAAGAAACAGGTACAAAGGCAATCTCTCACTTGCTTTCACATGATGTATTTTTTACTGCTTTAGAGCATGATAAGCCAAATACTGGAGCAAAAGAATCAAAACACTCAAAGACAGAAAATAAAACAGAAGCTTGCTGTTTCTGAATGAGCATGAAAAAGCAGTGAGGCATTGGAATAGGCTGCCCATGAAAGTGGTAGTCAGTGTCCCTGGAGGTGTGCAAGAACAGTGAAGATGAGTACTGAGGTACATGGTCAGTGGGCATGGTGGGGATGTGTTGACATTTGGATTAGACTATCTTGCAGGTTTTTTCCAACCTTAATGATTCTACGAACCTAGGAGGCACATCCAAGCCTGATTTAATCATAACCAAACGAATGACCAAAATAATTCGGAGACTTTTTCTTCCATTTATTACCTCAGTATTCTTTCTGAGGTAAACCTGTCTCAGACCTCCTCACACTCCTGGCTCTGAAGTTCAAATGAAGAGCCAACAGCAGAGCAGTGACGTGAGTGCCTCAGAAGAGATGGCTCAACTCACAGCGTGGGTCAGTGAAGAAGTTTCTGATTTGCTGCTGGATGAGCCACAGCAACCACACCGGGCACAGGTCTGCTTCAGTCCCCAGGGCAGCACGCCTCCAGGGACACTGCCTCAGAGGTGATTCCAGGTCACTCACGTGGAGCTGCATTGCGTGCCACAAGCCACAGTCTCCTGTCCAAGTGACTTTAGTGCGATGCGTTCAGCTGTAAAGCTGACAGAAATGCCTCTTCCCATTGCATTTTGAGAATTCAGGACGGAGAGTTTTAAAGCAATACCCTTACAAACAGTCACACGTTTTCTTTCAAAACTCCTTCCATGACTTCTGGCACCAAGCTTTCTTCCCTAGATGCACTCAGGCCCCGGTGTTACATGTGAGGGCACATCATGGGTACCACAGCACGGCCTGGGGAAAGGCAGAACACCCTGTCCTCCTCACAGGAAGGCACAGGACAGTGACTCAAACAGGAGACAACATGAGGTAAACAAGTAACTGGCTTATCTAAAGTGGTATTGAAAACAGTCACTGAGGGCAAACTGCACCAGGTTAAAGTTTGACCATAAAAGCAAGGCTGAAATTATCGCAGGGCAATGGCTGCTCCATCTGAATATATCTTTGCAAGGGCTGAACTCATTTGCTAGCATAACACTCTGAATATCAAGAAGAGCAAGACGAGGGGGCTAAGTCCCTGAGAACACAGGCATGCAGGTGCATGGAAGTGCTTGCTTTCTTTTATTTTGCAGGTCACATTTTGGAGCTCTTATTCCTGTCCTGCATCATTCTTCCTATCTCTCTGACCATCTACTGCATAGCAATCCTGCGTGACTTGTACTGCTGCTGAACTCGTTCCTCTCGTGAGAAGCTAAGCTAAGGTACACAAAAGGAAACACTACAATAAAATGAGATGCTGATTTCCTATTATCAACACACACAGTGTAAGTAGGTATAAAAAGACCAATTCAAAAGATAAGGATTATGGGGTTTTTGTTTTGTTATTTGTTTTTCTCAAATAACCTTCCTGAGGTCAATGATTTACTATGCCCATCAAACGAACAGAAAATTTAAGTTCTGGTCTCACTTCACATCTGATTGGATTTAACATTTTCACTAACCTATAATGCAAAGGCTTTTTTCAGTTTTTTTTTTTGTCCCCTTCTTGGATGAGGAAAGGAGCGGAGAAAGAACTGTCACAAAGGCAATCTGCTGCAAGTGAGGAACAGGAAAGGAGAACAGCAGAAACCACAGAAATAAGAAAAAGCAAACAACACCTAGCACCACAGCAGGCTCTCCCACCTTAAGTCTCACACTTCTCAAACTCAGAGCTGAGACCTCATTCTTCCCTCAGGGCACGCATCTCACACTGGACTAGGCACAGAGAATGTTTGCTAGAACCGTTTCTCCATCAAAACCTATTTAGTTTCCTCAGTAACCTATCCCACAAATCCTCCAAGTAAGGTGTTCACCACCTTGCCCAAACACCACTTCTCCCTTGACACCCACACCACATGGATGTTTTCCCTTCAAAACATCTCTCAGCTGCTTTGCCAGAATTCCTCCCCTTGTTTGGTCTTCCTCACTTCCATCAGCAGTCTGACTTCTTCCACCCAACTGCTGCTTGTTGCAGTGTCAGCCCTTATTCCGCTTTGTTCCTTTCTGGGTAAAGACCTTTAGATCAGTGCCAGAGAGTAAAATCCACCAACGCTTCACTCTGCACATAACACCAAGCAGAGACAGGTATTTCTTTTGTTAATCTGTTTCAGACATCACCTCTCTGACCTACTTTTACTCCTACCAGAACCCAGTATTTGCTGTAGTCAGCTTATTGATGGCATTTCACAATTTTTCCTACAGAATAACCTGACAATTACCTTACAGAGCAAGTTACCCAAGAATTCCTTAGAGAGTACAAGTGACAGTTCCTGTGATTTCTATTCAGCATCTTCCTTATGTTTTATATAACAGACACACAACTGATTTTATTCAACGGTGTCTCATAACCGTGACTTCATACAGCTGATGCAGCACATTAAAGAAAACTGATGCATGGCTCTCTCATCATACTATAAATGCTCGAGGAGTTGTTATGAATAAATAACAAAAGGTGTGCATCAGAATGAGACTGCAAGAGTGCCTGGACAGGTCAAGTCAGTGAAAACTGGGTGAGAGCGTGACTCTGGGCTGAATTTCTACCATAGTCAGATCAGTATGGTCATTCTGTCTCAGTGTGAACAACAACCGACTGAATCAATGAAAGTACAAATTAAAAGGCAATCTGTGATAGTAGAAAAACATTTATTTTCAACTGCGCCATATTTTATACTATTTATCCTGTTTTACTAACATGCTAATGAGTGTTAGGAATCATTCACAGGAGATGACAGAAATGTGAATGGCAAAAAAAGCCTTCTGCATCTGATGTGCACCAAATGCCTGCCATTTGCTGCCACCTCATTCTATTTCTTTCTCTTCTGTCACCGTCCTCCCAAAGCTTGTCTCCATCACCTAACACAACTTCATGAGATGGTAAAAGCAAATGAATGAATGGAATTCTCAGCTAGAGCAGACTGCCCACTGCTCTGTCACCCACACAGTTAACGCACATGCCCTGACAGTCAAACAGAGCCTCCTCTGTTCCAACAGTGTATGCCCACTCTCTCTTGTCCTGTCACTGGGCACCACTGAAAGGAGCACGGCTCCGTCTTTACACTCTCCCTTCAAGTATTTGTTCACATGGATGAGAATCCATCCCCAAGTGAGCCTTCTCCAGGATGAACAGACTCAGGTCTCTCAGCCTTTTTTCAGAGGAGACACACTTCTGTCCCTTCAATATCTTTGTGGCTCTTTGTTGGACTCTCTCCAATACATCCACATCTCTCTTTACTGGGCAGACAAGAATGGGACCCAATACTTCAAGTGTGACCTAACACAGTCCCCAACACATACTGGTACATACGAGGTTACTCCCCCCCACGCACAGAACTTTGCACTTCTTGTTGAACTTCATGTGGCTTCTGTCAGCCCATTTCTCTATCTTGTCAAGGTCCTTCTAGATGGCATCACAACCCTCTGCTCTATCAGCCACTCCTTGCAACTGGGTGTTGTCAGCAAACTGTCTGTCCTTGTAGCACTGATCACCCTCCTCCAGGACCAACTGTTCAACCAGCCTGCTCATCTACCCATTCTTCATCAGCCTCACTGTGAGGATCTTACGCAAGAAGGTACCAATAGTCTTAAAGAAGATAAAATACACTCTTAAATCCACAGCAATCTCACTAAGTCAAATGCAAAAGACTGCCCTAAACTCAGTCTGTATCAGTACTTTGAACTAGAGACAACAAGGTAATACAAATGGAAAGGATAATCCATTACAAAATATATTAAGATCATATTCCTAATAGAACCCTTTATTTCTGCACTGCATACTGCATTAATACATGCATTCAGCATTCAGAATGTCACTTTGCAAATCAGGTGGGATCTCATCCCACACCCTTCAGCTGTCAGCCCCGCTCTGAAAAGGAGAGCCAATATAGCACCTGGAATCTAATTAAAGACCAGCAGGTTTCTCCTTTATAGGGTTCACCTGAAAAGCAACAGGAAACTGATTTGCTGCCATTCAGCACTTCAGTTTTCAGAATTTTGAAGGCTCCCATGACTTGGTAGAGAAGCTTCATCAGCATTAACATTTTTTAATGTGTGTTTTCTGCTATTTATATGCAACCCTGACTTAAGTAACCTAACACAAGAACAACAATTTCTACTGTATTTTAATTAGGTTATAGAAATAATAAGGAAAATAATAATTGCTCTAAAAAGCACAAGCAATATACATCATTAGATGAAATCAAGAACACTTAACTGACTCTCATCCCACAAGGACTGACTGGTAAACATAAGTACCATAATGCTTTGCATCCAAAAATCACTTGCTTCCAAGCACCACCATTCCCAAATACTGAATTCTGCAGCATGATCCACAGAGATGACAAAAGCCAGAAGCCATGGACAGGATGTCTCATAAATCATAGAATATGTTTTTTGTAAGGAAATGACACAATTTCCAGTGGGAAATGTTATGCAGAAGCTGGGCTTACTGGATATCAATTATACAATTGGTACTGTAAATTTGAAACGAGCTGTGAGCATAGAACTCGCTGTGTGAACTAAGGAACTGCTCCTTGTACAGAGTTGCACACACTGAACTGCGTTGTTTCACTGCCACAGCCACTAAGCACCCCAGTGGGACTGTGTACGTGCCCACCTTCTTCACAAGAAGTCAGCATCTCAATGCGTTTCCAACTCCAGCATACAAACAAACTGCAGATCTCTTCCAAGTCCTTACACAAGCAAGTAACAAGATTCTAAGTCCTGGCTGATGGTTTTTTTTTGATAGTAGATGCATACTAATTTTAGAGGCCTGGTACATTATACACACTTAGCCCAGATGTTTTTTGCTTTTAATAAGGCATTTTGTACAAAGATAGCAAGGTGCCTTTTTAACAAGTTGGGTGACTTGAGAATGCTTAAGAGAGAAGGAATATCTGGCTCTCATTTCTGTGAGAGCAGGAAATTGAATGTTTCTAGCACATCAGTGGTACTAAAGAAAATTACACTGCTTGGAATAACTTTTGTGCTGACGTCAAAAAGTTATCATCCACATCTTCAGAGAATCAAAGGCTATCAAAAAGTGTTACACCACCTCCAGCAGACAATGCTGTACAGCGTTGCAACAAACAAACCACCTTCAACTCCTCTAAGGCAGAACTCCACCGCAGAGCAGAGAACCTCTGGCTTTTCAGCTGCTTGCCAGGTAGGCTTCTGCCCATGACTTATTGCAAAGGCAATCAGATTCCAGAGGAGCACACGAAGTGTTGCATGTTTTCTAAAATTAAAATTATCATTTGCAATATCTGTTCTTTTCTTCTGTTATTATAGTGCAAAGCAGTAGTTCTCTGAACTGTATTTTGTTCAATGACTAGAATGTACATTGATCACACCTCCTACTTTTCCTCTTAAAGTTTTCTACAAAAACATATTACAATTCTAAAGCTTCCTTACAAGAATACTGGCAGTTCTGAATTGTTTCCACACCATTTATCTCACTAACATCCTGGAGTCAAACCACTTTTTTCCTCCTTCAATACAGTCCCCCAAAGCAGGGAGGACTTCACCCTTGTTTCACCTTGTAGTTTATGCCAACATGCAAGGTGAAACTGCAGAGAGATGTTTATAAAATGAAAAGGAAAGATTTGACCACCAAGATTTCAAAATCTGGAAACTTTCATTAGTGTGTTGCATTTTTCACCTACAAATGAGAGTTTACAATGAAAATAATTCTTGAAATACGCCAATGCTACAGATTCAGCTGTTCAGTGATCACAGCTGACACAAGTATTTTATCTAATCTTTTTCATCTCAGTCATCTTTCTTGGCCGTTGCAATGCCCACATTTAAAACATACCTGTCCTTGACGTCTTTCATAAGCTGCTGCAAGTCAACCTCTTGTTTCCTCAGGTTCCCAAAGGACGACTGGCTTTCCACACAGCCCTTTGCTCCGGCTCCCAGGCTGATCTTTCCAAATGAAGTTTCAATACTTCCTTGGACAACATCTTCAAATTTCCCCATATATTTTGCAAAGTCAGATTCCACAATTACTAGGAAAACAATAAAAGTAACTGCTTACCACTGAGACAAGTGCTAAAACAGTCCTGAAGTCATCAGATAAACAAAGTTAAAGAAAACAAAGATTTAATGTCAGTGAAGGCAAGAACAGCAATGAGCAAATAAACGGGTAAGTTCACAGCTCTGCAACTTCTGCTTCACAGAATCACAGAATGGCCGGGGTTGGAAGGGACCTCAAGGATCATGAATCTCCAAACCCCTGCAACATGCAGGGTCACCAACCTCCATGTTTAATGCTAAATTAGGCTGCCCAGGGCCCCATCCAACCTGGCCTTGAACACCTCCAAGGACGGGGCATCTACAACCTCTCTGGGCAGCCTGTTCCAGCACCTCACCACTCTCTGGGTAAAGAATTTCCCCCTGATGTCTGACCTAAATCTCCCCTCCCTCAACTTAAAACCATTTCCCCTCATCCTACACATATCAACCCTTTCAAAGAGTTGATTCCCCTCCTGTTTGTAGGCTCCCTTTAGGTATCGAAAGGTTGCAATGAGGTCACCCCACAGCCTTCTTTTCTCCAGGCTGAACAAGCCCAGCTCCCTCAGCCTGTCCTCATAGGGAAGGTGCTCCAGTCCCCTGATCATGCTAGTGGCTTCCTCTGTGTTTTCATCTTTGATTAGCTATCTTTTATGTTCTGCCATTTTAGGAAAACATCTGAGGAGTCAAATACTGAACTCAAACACTAAAAAAGCACTAAAAAGACTTACAAAGCATGACAAATTTACTTCAGCTACAAGGAAAAACTGAAGTATACCTGCTTGTGCAACAGACTTAATATTCTGCCATTATCTCTATACATCTTATAACAAGCCTGTCCCAAAGCTCACTGAAAATCAATGGAAATTCTGAATTGGCTTAAATCAAAATCTGAGTCTCAAAATCAAAGGACAAAAAAAAAACAACAACCAAGGACAGTCTCAGAATCAGCTGATTTTCCATGTTAGTCACAATTACCATCTATGCTGAAGGACTTGTTGTTTATCTACCTTCAGAATTATGACATGCCCAGAAATATGGGATTCCAGATCATCGCTCCTACTAGCTGGTGAGGTTTGGTGCAGCTGGATGGCGAAATAAGTACAAGGATCAAATATTTTTAACAGTCTCTACAAGAAGAAAGGAAGCCACAATAAAACTTGTAAGCATTCTCTAGGCTACTATCACCAGCTTTTGTCCAGTGCTTTTTCACCTGGAGCACAGTACAGTTTCATGCCGTTATTGTCTACCAGAAACTTCCCAAAATAATCCAGGGGAATTCCTGAGGCTGCAGAGAGCAGTGTTACAAATACCAACACTGTATGGCTTGACAACCTGCAGCACCTGGTTGCAGTAGCCCACCTAGATTTTTTTAAAAATTAAATATTTAATAGTACTGTTCTTAGCTAAACAAATAGCCAAGGGAGAAAAAGATCCAGTCATCTCAGTTCTAAAGATAGAGAATAATTCAGAGCAAAGAAGCCCTCTAGTAACAGGACTGGGAATAACAAGGAAAAAAGTCAGGCTTTGTATTCTTTTCATGTGCAATAATAGTGCTGCCTGAGTACAGCTTTACCTGGTTTTATAGGTTTGTCTTCAGTAAGCACATCACTCAACGAGACTGCCAAGAAATGATACTTGGGCTTCTGCCAGCACCAGAATTTCTTCCTCTTTGTAACTAAGCTCAGAAGCTGCAGCTTGTCTGAGGCGTTCAAATGGGAAACAGGGATCAAGTCACCTCCGCTGTCCGTTTCTCTCACAAAATTCCTTGTTGCTTTTGCAAACATCTTGGTGAATCATTTACAGCCTGGAAGAATAAATCTGTTTTTCAAAACTACAGTTAGAAGATATAAATATTTACATTTGCACTTTCAGGAGCTCTTCACATTACCGGTATCAATATAGGAATACTGTTCTCACTCCACCTTCTCCACTCTAAACTGGGAATAGTGACAGTTACTATCATTTCCCCCAAAAGGTTTTCACAGTAACAGATGATGGAATTTTGGATAAAAACTTAAATAAGCAACAGTGAATAAGTAAAGAACAGTGCACTGCAAGCATGATATAGAAGACTTAACCACTACAGTAATCCTGAAATTCGTAAGCACACAAATAATGAAGAAATATATAAGAAAAGAAGCAACCCAATTTAAAACTGAAAAAATCCTTTAAAGAACACCCACAGATAATTAATCTGCTAGGGAGGAAAAAAACTTACACAACTTACCTGAAGTTCTAAGGAAAAGCATCTCCTAATGAGCAGCCTGCAGAGACTCACCTGGCTCACAGGAACACAGGCGCAGTGGCAGAGCACTCCTGCCTCTCCACAGGCTCCTTTTATGACCTACCATAAAATCACCTTACTCCACAGAAGATAACTGAGTATTATTCATACAGGTTACCTTGTTTTAACAGTCCATAAATACATACAAGGATAATAGAAATTATTTCATAGTAAGCAACAAACATTTCTACTGGCAGCTCTGTGACTAAATTTTCCTTCTGAACTTCACCCACGGAAATTCCCAATTCATATTTTCTTCTTTTGAACTTTTTTTTTTTTAACCTTCAGTGCTTTCCAATTTTCTATTTCCCATTGGCAGAACTACAGCTGAACAGAACATACACTGTTTACAAATGTTACTTACATCTGCTAAACAGCTACATAGATTATCTTATTCTAGCTTTTAAATGTCTTGAAGTTGAAAATACTGCCATCTTTTCTCATGTAAGGTTTCCTTTATCCAACATGATATTATGCTATTTACAAGAAAGTTTTTCAATATGAGAAACTGGCTAAAGGCATGGGAGAACCGATAAAAAAGACCACTCAGAAATGCTAAGCATTCAATTCTAAAAATCTACATTTTCAACCTTACAAGAATTTTTCTTTCAGTTGTTTTATGTGATCTGGTGGCATTTCCACTTTTTTTTTTTTTCCAGTTGGCAGCATTCCTTTGTACCCTCCTCCAGCTGACAGGCATAAACTGCCCCAGGTGCCCATTTATCTTCTTTGAAATAGCGTGCACACACATTCTCCATTAATCACCTATCCTGCTCAAACAGATGTTGGATTTGTCCATCACCAACACAGGCCAGAATAAGCTAAGGCAGGCTTCAAAGGAATGAACAGGAAAAGATATTGTAGTTGACACTTAAGACTGTGGGAAAATGGAAAAGTGAGTAAAGATATTACAGGCTGGACTATAGGGTTCATGTTTTACTATCAGCTGGGGAAAAGAAGAAAACCACTCTTTGTAGATAGAAACACAGCTTTCCATTAGCTTTTCCCAAATACCATTTCAGATAATATTTCGTTCACTATTTACCAACTCACATTGAGATAGCTACCTTCCTATGAAATCTCCATGGCCTACTCTTAGTTCTCCCCATTAACAAGCAAAGAGCATTACTCAACAGCACCTGCAGAGAAAAGATTTGAAGAATGTCATTCTGTGCTTCCAACACTTTGCTGAAGTGTAATCTGGGGCTGCAACAAACAGCCTGGAGCTACGCTGGGAATATTTCCACTGACTTCCAGTGCATTAGCTGCTGTCACCCAACATAACCTCCTTCAAACATGCTTTATGTGATTGCTCACTCATTCTGATCCCATTCTCACACAATGGACTCACGTTTGTATTCTCTTAATTGAAAAAGGCCCACCAATTTCTAAGGAGCTCACGAGAAGAGAAATTGCAACAAAAAGTTCTTGCGATTTGTCTTTCTGTTACACTCTCACTAAATTTCATGAGAAGAACCAATGACACCATTCTATAAAACTCCATTCTGATTCATGGTAGTTTGACTTCGCTCCCAGCAATGAGGCTTCTGATATGCAAAAAGAACACCTGGGAAAGATCACAGAGAGCTTATGAAAACTGCAGGGACTCACACGGCAGGAAAGAGATTCAGCCTTCAGCCACAGGCATTGGTGACAACATTAACACCTCCTATCATGGGAACATCTTTGCAAGGAGCTTATTTACTGGTGCAGCAGTACCTGCAAAGTATTAATATTCTACCCAAATTATCTCTTTGTGCATAGTACCTTTAACATAAACTCTCAAATGCATTCCACTATCTTGTTTCACTAGCTCATAAAAGGACAGAGAGACAGAGGTAATTCCCCATGGTCAACGTCAGCGAGATAATACAGGACTGAGGGTGTCCTGATCATATGGTCACAGATGTAGCACTAAGATAACTCTCCTTCTGGAATTCCTTGCTCTGAAGTTTCGTTGAATCACGTTTGACTTGCCAGAACTAGAAGGACAGGTACAAAAGCTGGTAGAAAAGGCCTGAATTCACTCCTGCAGATTGACAGCTAGGTGTGAAGGTGGGAAAGGAAGAAGTAGGCTCCTTGCCCACTGAGAAATTTAAAATTAGCCTGAACCTGGGCTACAGGCAGATTATTCAATGAAGAGGATGAGATCAAGCAAAGATATTTACAGTAACTTCATCGCTTATTGCAACTGTAAGGGAGTGCGTTGGAAGGCTGATGCCTGCAGACTGCCATGCAGAGGACTTCAGCTGACCATGTGCCACCCTTCACATTCTCAAGAACTGTAGAATCGTGGAATTGTGTGAGTTGGAAAGGCCCTTTAAAGGCCATCTGGTCCACCTCCTCTGCACTAACACACGGCCCCATCAGCCAGGACTCATGCTGAAAGAAGCCTAAAGCGAGCAAGTGATGACAAGCAGTGCATGGATCGTATTACAAAGCCTTGTTTTCTTCTCCTTTCTAGATAATTCAAACAAAAAGCCATAAAATCCCAAAGATTTTCAATCCCTGATCGAGCGGTGCCAGCCCGGACCTGACCCGAGACCAGACATGGTGCCGGCCACGAGGAGCGGGCACTGAGGCAGCTCGAGCGGGCAGCCAAGCGCCAGGCTTCTCCTCAAACACCACCCATGAACTGCGGCGATTCATCATTTTATGTGAGGATTTTGGTGTTTTTTTCCCCCCGCAAAGAAGCCGGAGAGCACACGAGCAAACAGAGACGGCGGCGGGCCCGAAGACTCACAGCGGGCTGTGCGCGCCCCGCCCTCCCGGCGGCGAGCAGGGCTCAGCGCGGGCACTGCCCGCCTTACCGCCCCCCCGCGTCCGTCCCCGTACTCACGGCGAACCCCGAAGATGTGCTCTGCACCCCAAGGCGAAGCTCCGCCAAGAGCCTGGAGGAGCGCCTAGAGGAGGGGGCTTCGGGCCAGCAATGAGGCGCGGCAGGGCTGGGCAGCACCGCGGGGGCAGGCGGGGGAAGCAAGGCCCCGCCCGGCGTGCGGAGGGGGCGCGGGGCCTCGCGGCGCCGCCATGTTGTCGCCCAGCACGTGGCTGTGGGATGCTGCCGTTGTCCAGAACAAAATGCCGTAGGGATTGCAGTAACACCCATTCAGTGAGACCTTTATGAGTCTACAGAAATACCGAGTAGTTCTTGAAGGTATCAAAGAAGTATTTTTGAGTGAGCCGTGCTATGAGCTGGGTCCTTATGTTCCCATTTAAAGAAAGCATTTGGGCGAGCAGCCACAAGTGTTGAATCAGCAGATCTTAATGGAGTAAAGCCTGGCTGGTCTTTGGAAGGAGAGGAGTTTGAAAGGTGGATGTCTTGAAATGAGCACTCCTGGGTGAGAAATACTGCTCAGTGTTCATAGCTGAAGTCATACTCATTTCTTCCTCTGTGTTAACTACATACCTTATCCAAACCTTCCAATTAGCTTCAGTGGGTTTTAACCTATAAACCCTTTCCGATTCCCATCAATGACATCGTACCCAGACTCTAACGCCTTATTTTCTTCAGGAAATATTCCTTTCTTCTCTTCGAAGGAGGGGCAGTAGAGCTGTGAAAGGTCTAGAGCACAAGTCTAATGGGGAGCAGCTGTATCTGCATATGTGACAATTTACTTTCTATGAAAAGGAAAACTCTGCTTCTTGAGTCTTGTACTAAGAAAAGCACCTACAAGTCCTCAGGAGATCTCTTTTTAGGGTCAGCACCTAGCTGCAGAATTACTAGCTCCAGGCATAATCTCTAGTGGCCAGTAGCAGCACGTTTCATTAGCAGTCATGTGCTTTTCTGAGGAGTGGCAGCATGTGATTCATTTCCAATGCGAGTGTCTGCTCAAGCAGATTTTGAGAAATCAGGCCAGGAAGTGACACTGAAACACATTACCATGGAAATGTTCACTAGGGAGGAAGGAGGCAAAAACAGTGAAACTTGCCAGTCAGCTCAAGGAAGTTACTGGTGGTTAATTGTGCACAAACTAAGGGGTGTCTGCACCAAGGATATTTCCACATTTTCAAGAGAAAACATTAAACAGACATCTGTTATCCACTTAACACACAAGCCAGCATACAGTAGTTTTAAGCTGACTTGCGTTAATTAGAAGAGACAGAAACAGGTCTGGACACTAACAGTTTTGAGGCCGTGCAACAATTAACGTAAAGGCTTCAAACACTGATATTGAAAATGGCTGCAAGTGGGAGACATTTAGGATTGAATACCTTCCTTGATCTTCCATTCTTCATTTCCATGAATAATGAACGATGAAAGTGATGAGAATCTGGACATAAGCCAGCAGTGTGTGCTTGGAGCCCAGAAGACCAACTGTATCTTGGGCTGCATTAAAAAAGGGGTGGCCAGCAGGGAGAGGGAGTTGATTGTCCCCATCTACTCAGCTCATGTGAGGCGCCATCTGGGGCACTGCGTCCAGGCATGGGGCTGTCAGTGCAGGAAGGACGTTGGAGCTCCTGGAACGGGTCCAGAGGAGGGCACTAACATGATCAGAGGGCTGGTGCACTTCTCCTATGAC